GCTAATTCACGCGCTTCAAAAATTTGCAAGTAAACTCGCTGTGTCAGCTAAAATAATGTTGCTCCTATGTCTTAGAAAGAAAAAAGAAAGACCTGAAAGAGAAAGAGAGAATCGAACCCGTAAGCTTAAACGTATTGAAATTTACCTGTCGTCAGTACTAATGCTTCACGCTTTGCGCTACGCACGTTCCCGACGAAAGAAAAATAAAAAATAAAAAAGTCTTTCTCAGTATTGGGCATTGACTTTTAATCATGTGGTGGTTCTTAAAAGAACCGTTTCGTCAAAAGACAATTAGTAGAAATTGTTTTTTTCTACTTAAAAATTCAGATTAGAATCCCCAGGTAAACGGGTAGGCAGTTATTATTTGCCATTTCTCGCCTGGTACTTTCTCAGAGTAACACACTGCAATGTGAAATGCAGGAAAGCCTTCTGGATCAACATCAATTTGCTCGTTGACTTTAAACATGTACAAATAAAAATGGCCGTGTGATTCTTTCCATCCTTGTTCTAAAAGAACCACGTCCTCGTTGTCCTGTTCCCACGTGAGTTCCGATAAATTCTTTAACATGTCGACTAAATTAAATCGTAACCAAAACTTAGAGGTTTCAACATGTTCTTGTCATATCCCATGAATCCTTATGTGCTTCGTACATGCGCAGTAGGTTCTTCTTGCCATGTGCTTACAGACTTGAAGTAAAATATTGTTGAGTTCTCAGCGTTCATTATACAATTTCCTGCTATATTACAAACTACAAATTCCGGGTACATTACAAACTGGCGACGAGGATGAAGACTTAAGGTGCCAGCAATGACTACACAGCAATTTGGCACTTTGGAACCGTTCGATGGAGCTGACTTTACGGATTACAGTGAACGCTTGAATGCCTATTTCATCGCACATAACATCGGTCAAGTTGCAGCAGACGCCAGCGAAGCAGCTAAACGAGAGGCAGACAAGAAAAAGGTCGCCGTTACAATTTCCTTGATCGGTAAAACCGCTTACAGTACGCTCAAAGATCTCTGTCTTCCTGATTTACCCGCTGATAAAACTTACGATCAGCTTACACAAATTCTGAAAGACTACTACAAACCTAAAAAACCAACAAACCAACATCAGGAACATGTACTAAGGAGGAGCACGAGAATCCAGTCCCTTCTTGTACAGTTTATATGAAAAGTGTGAAATCGTCTGAAAATTCATCATTTACACCGCCCTTATACAAACTTACCGTTACCATTGAAGACCAGGAAGTCCCTATGGAAGTTGATACGGGCAGTTCTGTGACATTGTTGAGTTCTGCTGATTTTACCAAAACCGGAGGACAAGTAACTACACTCAAACCCCCTACAGTGCTTTTGAAAAGCTATACTGGGGACCTTATGCAGTGTATAGGTGAGAAGGAAATGGATGTCAAAGTTGGAGACCAGGAGGGTACCCTGTTAATTCGTGTAGTTCAGGGACCATCACTACTGGGGCGGGACATGATGTCCAAGTTTACATTACCTTGGCAGAACATTTTTAGTACGATTTCAACTGCAGCTGAGGATACAGTTCAGCAGTACTCTGATTTGTTTGACACTAGTTCAGTGGGAAAACTTAAAGGAATCCAAGTGTCATTGCGTGTAAGTGATGAAAGCCCTGTGTTTACCAAAGCACGAGTAGTACCATTTGCAATTCGGTCTAAGTACGAAAAGGCCTTGGAGAAATTGGTGGCAGAGGATATCATCGAGAAAGTAGAGCATTCCGAGTGGGCATCACCAACAGTCCCTATTGTTAAAGCAAAAGGTTACCTGAGAATTTGTGGGGACTACTCTGTCACCATCAACAAATTTTCAGTCTTAGAACAATACCCCATACCAACTCTGGAGGAACTACTGAGTACATTATCTGGGGAAAAAAATTCACTACGATTGACCTTTCTCAAGCTTACCATCAACTAGAGCTTACGCCAGAAAGCAGAAAATACACCACAATTAACACTCATTTGGGCTTATACCAATACAAGCGCCTGACTTTTGGAGTGAGTAGTGCTGTGTCAATCTTCCAACGCACTATAGAAAATGTCCTTAAGGACCTTCCAGGCTGCTGTGTCCGTATTGATGACATCCTTATTTCCGGAGAAACAGATGAAGTCCATCTGAAAACCTTCATCGAGTAGTAACTCGATTACAGGACTGCGGTCTTAAGCTTGACCCTGATAAATTCTTTTTCATGCTGGATAAAGTAGAGTATCTTGGTACTACCATTTCTGCTGCGGGGATTTCACCGACTGCAGAGAAAGTGCAAGCAATCAAGGATGCAGCACCTCCAACAAATGTTTCTGAATTACAGTCATTCCTTGGATCAGCCAATTTTCTACGTAAATTTGTGCCGGATTTTGCAAAGTTGGCTTCACCTTTGTACAGATTACTTCGCAAGGAGGTATCATGGAGATGGTCAAAACTGGAACAGGACTCTTTTGATAACATCAAGGCTGCCCTGTGCTCCGATTCGGTTTTACGTCACTACGATCCTATGGCTGAATTAGTTCTACAGTGTGATGCTTTTTCAGTGGGTGTGGGAGCTGCATTACTGCAACCTGGACCTGATGGTGCATTACAACCTGTTGCCTATGCATCGAGGATACTGAACAATGCAGAACAAAATTACTCCCAAATTGAACGTGAGTCATTAGCAATTATTTTTGGCGTGACCAAATATCGCCAGTACCTGTTAGGTAGACACTTCAAACTCCTAACAGATCATAAACCTTTGATTACTTTACTTGGGGAACACAAGCCCGTACCCCTGTTGCCAGCAGCAAGGATCAAAAGATGGGCATTAGTTTTAGCTGCTTATGACTATACGATTGAATTCATAAGCGGCAAAGACAATGTGTTTGCAGATTTTTTGTCTAGGAAGCCTATTGAATACAAGCAGTCTGCTGCAGAACAGGTAACCGTAAATGTGATGTTTATCGAAGAAGACCAGTTTTTAAATGCATCCGTGGTTGCTATGGAAACCATGAGAGAACCAGTTCTTGGAAAGGTGTTACAGTTTACTCAGCAGGGTTGGCCCAATAATCTGGAACCAGTGTTCCAACCTTACTACAGCAAAAGACTTGAACTCTCTCATGAAGATGGTATCCTCCTGTGGAACTCGCGAGTTGTTGTACCAGAGTCGTTACAGGCTCTCTTATTGGCCGATTTGCATGCAGAACACCTGGGTATGGACAAAATGAAACAATTAGCTCGAAAATACTTTTGGTGGCCTGGACTTGATAAGCAAATTGAGGAGACAGTTAAATTATGTCCTGCTTGTCAAGAATCTGCTAAATTGCCAGCATCCGCCCCAATTGCTTCATGGTCCTGGCCAGGCGGACCATGGAAACGATTACATGTAGATTTTGCTGGGCCTTATCTTGGCAAGATGTTTTTAGTCGTGGTGGATGCTTATTCCAAATTTTTGGAGATAGTACCCATGACTCATGCCACCAGCACCAACACTATTACTGCTTTGAGACACATTTTTAGTTACTTTGGTTTACCAGAACATCTGGTAACGGACAGTGGGACTCAGTTTATGAGTGATGAATTCCAGAAATTTTTAAGAGAAAACGACATCCTTCATACTCTCACTGCTCCGGACATCCTGCTACAAATGGGTTAGCAGAACGCTATGTGGGTGAATTTAAGGATAAACTGGGCAAGGTTGGAGATACCGGCGAGTCTGTGCAGACAAAATTAGACAGGTTTTTGTTGACTTACAGGGCTACACCCACCACGTTAGGGAAATCACCCTCAGAATTACTTATGAACAGGCAGTCTAGAATTAGATTCAGTGCACTGAGAGCCAAGAGTTCTAAACAGGAAGTTAAGGTTTTTCAAGACAACCTTGATAACAAACCCCAGTTTACACCAAACCAAGCAGTTTTTGTGCGTAATTTTGGCAAAGGAGTCAAATGGATTCCAGGAACCATTGTTGGAACAGTCAGTCCCCGGAATTTTGAGGTTTAGGTCGGAGACATTATCTGGAAACGACATCAAGAGCAATTACGTCCACGATTCATACCTTCCACACTAGGGTCAGAGTTAGTTCCTGCGCCCCAGCTACCTGAGCAAACTGAAGGGTTGACCCCAGTAGTGAGGGAATGGCCTGTTACAACACCAACTCTTTCACAGCCTGAAGAGTCTACGCCTGTACTTGACACTCCAGCCTTGGATAGCGTGGCTGATGCTTTTTCTTCACCACAGGACTCATCTGTGCGAGATTCAGAACTTCAAGCATCAGCACCTGAGCAACCAGAACGGAGATACCCTCTCAGAGAGCGTAAACCGCCTCAGAGGTTCTACTAGTCTTTAGCAAACTTAAGTGTTCGTGACTTTGGGACTTGTTCCTATCAGTACATTACTTTGTATTATTAACAGGTTCAGTTTTTCTTTCCTTTGCTTTAAGAGGGGGCATTTGTCATATCCCATGAATCCTTATGTGCTTCGTACATGCGCAGTAGGTTCTTCTTGCCATGTGCTTACAGACTTGAAGTAAAATATTGTTGAGTTCTCAGCGTTCGTTATACAATTTCCTGCTATATTACAAACTACAAATTCTGGGTACATTACAGTTCTTTTCTAGAAACATGTCTTTCGTTAATATGGTCTGCTTGTTCTTGCGTTAGAAAACTGCCCTCGGTTTCAAAAGGCGAAGCCATCGTTGAAAATAAAATTTTTTTCTGTTCCGTCTTAACAAAAAGAGTTCAACTTGAAAAAGAGCGAAAAAGTGTAATTGTTTTTGCCGCGAACCGTTAAACTTAAAAGCGAAGCGAACTTTTTTAGCCGCAAAGGTTTAAAACTTGAAAGAACGGTGAAAAGTTAATTGGTTTTTGCCGCTCAACATTTGTTGTCACCGCACCAATGAGCGTGAATCGTGCATGAACAGCATAAAGGAAAGGTGAATTTGGGAAAGTCACTTCGCTCTGCTCATCACAGTGTCAAGATATCAGATTGCGTTGCTGTTTTGGAAAATGAAGACTTTGTACCAGTTAGCCTTTGAAGCGGTTCCCAATAAGGGCTTGATGGTGGAAACATTCCTTGTACCCTGGCACCCGATCGCACAAGAATTGCGGGAGCAGCAATATATCGAAGACAGACATCGGTATAGGGAACAACATCGCGTAAACTTCAGGTGTGTATACGAAGACTTGTGTTTTTATCGAAACATGGTTTTCAAACTCAAAAATTTACCCTAGCAATGTTGCGTCTTTAGACCGATTGTGGAATCGCTGTTTTGGATTAAAGACTGCACATGGTTAAGTGTGAAGACCAAATGCTGTATGATTGAACTATAAAAACGTGTTTTTAAACGCGCATGTTTATGTTTATTTTAGAAAATGTTTAAAACAACTGCAAGTTCGAAGATGGGACACCTTTTGCTGTAAAACGGGGTGGGTCGCAACTAAATCCGCTCGCTATGGGGAAGACCCAAGATGCCCGTAATGTAAAAGAATTAGGACAATGGGTTTTAACGTTAGACAGATTACGTTTGAAAAGGCAAAAACAAAAAGTTGACCAAAATGAGGAGACACGTTTAATGCGTCTTTTTTACTATACACCTATTTGTAGAGAATTATTCGATTAGATTGAACGTGTTTTTAAACGCGCTTGTTGATTGTTTTATTTTAGAAATTGTTTGAATCAGCTGAAAGTTCGAAGATGGACCATGTACTGTCATAAAACAGAATGGATTCCCGTTAATGCTATGTTGCCTATGTGTTCCTATTGTAAAAGAATTAGGACAACCCAATTAACGTTAGATGGTTTACGTTTGAAACGTCAAAAGAAATTTGTAGATAAAAATGAGGAGGCGCGTTTAATTCGACGTTTTTACTATACACCTATTCGTAGATGCTTAGAATTTATGTAAATTTTTTGTTTTCCTTAGAAAATGTTTGCGCCAGATAAAGAATCGTCACTACTGTAGATCAGTCCAATGGCTTTCTTTTAATCGAGAAACTTGTTCACAATTTCTCAGAATTGCTGTTGAAGGTTTGACCGTGGAGGGTCAAATGAGACATGACCGATATGAAAGAGTTAATTTTGAAAGGGAACGACGCAAAATCTTTAAGTTATATAGGGGTAAACAAATTTTAGAAAAACGTCAGGCACTTGAACAAAGAGTGATGCAATCTTTTGGTTTGTTTTTGTAGAGAAGCTTTACAAGATATTCGTTTTTTACCATGTAATCCTTTTTACGAAGTGGATTGAAATTGACAGACAGAAAACTGATTTTCGTATCACTGTTTTAAATATAACCATTGATGATTTAGGTGTTATTGACGACCCTTTTTTTCCACATGTTGAATCAATGATCGAGCGCTTTGAGTGAACGTACGTTCACTTAAAATTAGAATTTCCTTGGTTTTTTCGAGATTATCAAGATGACTTTTTGGACCAGATCCATTAGGGTTCTGATATGTTCCAGTTTGTAAATAAGAAAAAGTGCTTTGAAAAGGACTTAGCCGACTTGCGGCTAAAATATGTTCCTCTCATTGCATTTACTAAGAAAATGATTGTACCGTTTTACCGAAGGGAGGTAAAATGTAAAAATAAAGATAAGTTTGCGTGTAATTTACTTGTGTCTTTGGGAAAAAAGAAATGAACTGAGATTGTCAAATGAACGCTCAGGCAAGGAGGGGTTTTCTTAGAACTGAATGAACTGAGATTATCAAATGAACGCTCAGGGGAAAAAAGAACAAAGATTATAGCTGAATCAGCCAAAAAATTAATTAGAAAAAGAACAAAGATTCATTAAAGAGGGGTCGGTAGAACAAAGATTCATTATAGAGTGGTAAAAAATTAATTAGAAAAAGAACAAAAGTAGCTGACTCAGTCAAAATAAGTCATTAGGTAGCCTTGGGCAGCCTTGAACATTCTTTGTCCATTATGACTTAATGAAATTCGAAGCACGCGCTCCACAGCTAATTTAACTAAACTGCGTCTCTGAAAGCGTCATTCAGTTTTTACTGTCTTACTGAACGGAGCTTGTCCAAACGATCTTCAAAAACGAAACATGGATCCTTACATTCGTGGGCTTATAGAGAATGATGGTTTAAAAGAAGTTTTAGCCAAGGAGCTAGAATGGACAGCTAGTCAGGGAGAGGAACTGATGGATTCCGATGACGAATTGGACCTGTTAGCCGCTTCACGCAGAGCAGATCAGCACGGTGGAAATCGGCCATTTGCCATTAATATGGAACGGATAGGTCCAATACGGCGATGGAGAGATGGTGTAGTGGTTCAGCACGCTGTTCGCTCCCGGTTAATTCAGTTGCGTCCTCCTAATGGAGAATTACAGGGAGAGGCAATTACTGAAGCAAAGATTCAAGGCCTGAAGGCACGTTTGTGATCCCCGAAATGAACTTGGACGCGTTGAACATTTGTCTATGTCCATGGCTGTTCATCATAGTACAGGTACACACACATGGACCAGTACACGGCCTATTCCGTTAGAAGAGTGGCTTAATTGTAGCGAATACACCGAACATTGGTTAGATAAACTAGCCAAGCAATTAAACTCAGCTGAGAGTTTTGATACAAGCATTGGTGAATTTTACATTGAACTGTTGTTTTTTAAGAATCGTCAACGTGGAAGCGAACATCGTGGAAAAAAAGGAAACCCCGGCAGTATGTCTTAAGAAGACATGCTCAAAAAAAAGAAATGCCTTATTACAATCAAGAATAAAGATGACCTTTGCGCTTCGCGGGGCCTCGTCACGATGCAAGCCCTTGCTGATGGAGATCCACAGTATAAGAACATCAGATTAGGTCGCGGTCAGCAAGGTTATCTGGCGCACAAACTTTGTCAAGAAGCCGGGGTAACCAAGGGACCCTGTGGTGCCGAAGAAATGCAGCAATTTCAAGATCATTTAGGTCCTCAAGGTTATCAGATCATTGTCTTTGAAGGACAACGAGGCATGATTTGGTTCAAAGACCGCGCTTACAATGATGCGTCCAAGAAAATTTGCCTACTTAAAGTACAAAATCACTTTCATGGACTGCGTAGCATTCCAGCCCTGTTAAATAGAAGTTATTATTGCCATCACTGCGAGAAAGGCTACAACCAAGAAACGAGCGAAAATCATAATTGCCTTGGGCAGAACGGTAGCAGTTGCAAAAGAACGAACGGAAGTTGTCCTAATTTCGCGACCTACGTGACACCAGAAGTCTATTGTGATCAATGTAATCAAAAGTTTTACGGACAGAACTGTTATGACGCACACAAACGAGGAGCGAATAGTGTTTGCAGCCGATTTAAAAAGTGTCACGAATGCTGCCAAGTTTACAAGTTCCGTCCCAAAAAGAAACATCACTGCTATCACGCTCTTTGCCGAAACTGTAAAGAAGTCACACTTGTCAATCACCGTTGTTTTATTCAACCCATTGTGGATGAAGACAAAACAGCGTGGGGTCCACGTATGGTGTCAGAGCATGCGGACGAAGAAAGGATGATGGAATTTGAAGAGGCAGAGAACGAAGGAGACAGTGAAGGAAAAGAAAAAGTGGAACCCATGATTTGTGCCATGGACTTTGAATGTACGCAGAATGAAATCGAAGAATTTGAAGTAGTGCGTGTTGGATGGAAATATCTGGGTGAGATCGATAGTTATCAGGAAGCGGGAACAGCGATGGATTTGTTGCGTGACGCTCAAGCGAGAACTGTCATGGAGGACGGTAAAGAACGCAAAGTCTATGTGTATGCTCACAATATGCGTGGTTTTGATTCATCCTTTCTTTTGCATGCTTTGTATGATCTGGGCTACCAGATTGTGAAAGTATTGAGTGTGGGAGCCAAGTATTTGTCGTTCGAGTGTGGTAACCTTATTTTTCGTGATTCGTTAAATTTTTTTAATATGGCCTTAGAGAAATTACGGGCGACATTCAATTTGACGGAAACACACAAGGGATTCTTTGCATATTCGTGGATACGCGAGTCCAAGTATGGGTATGTGGATGCTTATCCACCAGCAGAGGACTATCACCCAGAAAGGATGTCAGAGAAAAGACGTAAAGAATTTTACGCATGGCACAAAGAAAAAGTGGAAAGCGGGGCAATCTTCGATTTTAAGAAAGAACTCTCTGCCTATCTTCATAGCGATGTTGAAGTCCTCTTTCAGTCCTTGGAAGCATTTGGAAAAGAAATGGTCGAACTGACTGGAATTAATCCAGTGATTGAATGCGTTACCATCGCGAGTACCGCCAACAAGGTGTGGAGAAAGAAATTTCTGATTCGAGACCTCATTGCACTTGAACCCAAAAACGGATGGCGCCAAAACCAACAGAATCAAAGTGTGGAGGCCCTGCAATGGTGGGAGTTTGAAAATTCTAAGATTGGAGGAGGAATTCAGGTAAGATATTTTTAGTTGCAGTAAAAGTCTGCACATTTTAAATTTAATTTGCAGTGTTTTACTGCATTTTTCAGTTCGCGAGATGTTTCATATTGTGCAATGGCAAATGCACACTACAAATCAAAAATTACAAGGAATTGTATGGGAAATATGTGTAAAAAGTATGCGCTTAAGAAAAATTATTTGCAGTGTTTTACTGCATTTTTCAGTTTGCGAAATCAATTGAACTGTGCATTTGTGTATGCACACTGTAAAATTATAATCTGCGGACCGCACAGAACACAAAAACAAATGTATATTTATCTATTTTTCAGCATGTGCGAAACTCACTCGATGGCGAGGCCCGTGTTTTAACCCCAGCTCCGTCCTACAATGTGGATGGTTATCATGCAGACAGCAATACAGTGTACGAGTATCAAGGATGCATTTTTCATGGTTGTAAACGATGTTTCCCCCTCAGCCGTCAGAAGAAAAGACACTGCCATCCGGACCAAACCATCGAAGAGGTCTATGAAGCCACATGTCTGAAGACCGCAATCCTCCGAGATGCTGGCTACACAGTGATTGAAAAATGGGGGTGCGACTTTGCCCAGCAGAAAAAAACAGACCCAGAGCTCCAAACCTTCCTGGAAAGCTTTGAACTAGTTCCACCGCTCGAACCACGAGATGCCTTCTTTGGTGGACGTACCGGCGCCACAACATTGTACGCCAAAGCTGCTGAGGGAGAAGAGATCTCGTATGTAGATTTCACTTCCTTGTACCCCTCCATCAACAAATATGGAACTTATCCTGTGCGATTTCCAGAAATTTACCTCAACCCTGCCGATTAAAATATCTTCCATTATTTTGGTATCGCTCAGGTCGACATCCTTGCGCCTGAGCGGCTTTTTCATCCTGTTCTCCCCGTCAGAGAAGGAGGAAAGCTGACATTTCCTTTATGCAGAGCATGCGTTAAAGAAGAAATGGCCAAACCACTCCTAGAATGCAGCAATATGTGTGGTCACACTCGTGATCAGCGAATGTTACACAGTACCTGGTGTACTCCGGAACTGCAAAAAGCAGTAGAAAAAGGATACGAAATCCTGAAAATCCATGAAGTCTGGCATTTTATCCCAGAGAACCGCTGCACCGGACTGTTTGCGGAGTATGTAAACACCTGGCTCAAACTAAAACAGGAGAGTGCCGGCTGGCCTAAAGAGTGTGTGACAGATGAGCAGAAAGCAGAGTATATCAGAAAGTACGAAGAGCACGAGGGGATTGAACTTGAAAATGTAGCAGAAAATCCTGGACGGAGATCTATTGCGAAGATGCTTTTGAACAGGTAACTAGTTATGTTAAAATCAAAATTTCCAAAACGTTTTATGATGAAACCCCGATAAAACGATGAAACCACGATGAAACGGCGATTCATCATCGATGAAACCACGATGAAAAATCTTTTAAAGTTTAAGTTACAGACTTTTTTCCACACTTAAGAAATTAAGTTGCAGTAAAAGTCTGCCCTTTTTAAATTTAAGTTGCAGTGTTTTACCGCATTTTTAAGTTCGCGAGATGTTTAATACTGTGCAATTGGGAATGCATGCTACAAATCAAAAATTAGAAGGAAATGTGTGTAAAAAAGTCTGCACTTAAGAAAATTAACTTGCAGTGTTTTACTGCATTTTAAGGTTTGCGATTTGTTTCGTACTATGCATTTGCATATGCACACTGTAAAAATTATAATCTGCGGACCTCGCAGAAAACAATAACAAACTTATAATGTTTGTGTTTTCTTTCTTTTTTCTATTTTTCAGCTTATGGGGTAAATTTGGCGAGCGTCAAAATAAACCAGTGACCCGCTGTATTACACAGCCAGCCGACCTGTTTCGTTTACTCGACGATCCAGTGTTCCAAATTTCCGCGGTTCGCATTTGTAGCGAAGATGTGATGGAGGTTGTCACCACGACTGCCGAAGATGAATGTGAGCGCAGTTTTAAAACCAACGTGTTCGTCGCGGCCTTCACAACGTCTCTCGCTCGTCTGAAGTTGTATGAAGCCCTTGATTTTTTAGGTGACCGAGCTCTGTATTACGATACAGACTCGGTCAACAACAAAACCAAACCTGGTCAGGAAAAACTACCACTGGGAACGTGCCTCGGACAGTTCACAGATGAACTTGATGGCGATTCAATCGTGGAATTTTGCAGTGGCGGCGCGAAGAATTATGGATATCTTACCAAGAAAGGCAAGGTGGAGTGTAAGGTGCGTGGGTTTACACTCAATTACGAGACACTCCAGATTCTCAACTACTACACAATGCGGGATAACATCCTGAAAGAATTGGATCACCCCATGCAGCAGCGGCGAGAAATGGCAACTACCATTCCTGATTTCTTTGCCAGAGACCAAACGACCAAGAAGATTAAACTCACAGAATGAGTGAAAAAGTATGGTTTGGTCTTCGACAAACGCGTCATTGATCCTGCCACTCGCGTGTCCACACCCTACGGATACAACTGGTTCAGCGGAGACGCAGAACTGTTACTTTCATTGTAAATATATATTTTTTATTTTTATTTTTTTAGATTTTTTCTTAAAGGAGGTAAGGTAGCATGGAGGCACTAACCCCTTTAATAGGAACATTTGCATGCTTTTAGCTTTTGAAATAAAATTAGGAGTAGGTGTTGTAACGGTTTCATCGAAGGGAGGTGAAATGGCTTAATAAACTAAGTTTGCGACTCAAATTATTGGTGTGGTCTCTGTTAGTATAAATAGAGGGACATGACAGGGTAAGTTACTTTTCGTAAGATGTCGAACATTTACCTGACCCTCGTAAGCGATGTCACCCAAAATTACTTGAGTAATGTGGCAAATCAGTTTAAAGTCAAACCTGGGTTAAGATTACATGGGGAAGGATGGAAAGTCTCATTGTCAGTGCTATTTTACCAAAAATGTCTTTGTTCAAAGATTTGCAAAGTGAGACCAACGACTTGATATAAATATGGTTTGATGTGGATGGACTAAACTCACTCGAAAACGAAAAAAGGGACATGTTAATGCAAACGACCTTAAAGCAATGGAAAAAGAAAATAAGTCTCGAACAGGAATTGAATTTATGAATGAAGTCAAATCTCTGCTTGATGAAAGGAGACAAACTCAAATCCCTGCTGGAAAGAAAATTCTAGACCCTCAATGGGTTAATCTTGAATGGAAACGAGAGGCGAGTGAACCAGAATTGTTAATACATCATTCCGACCCAGGCACTAGTGTCACGATTTTGAAAAAGTTTTCAGAAATGATGCAATGGGTGAACAAAACAAATCATTTAGATTATCGCGCAGGTCCGAATTTAGTGATCAGTTATCCTTCTCATATCCGACAAACGTCTGATCTTAGTATTAATGAACCTACTAAAATAGATTCAAATTGGCTATATTTGAGTAGCAAAGCGGACTTCAGATTGACCAATCTCAATACGACCTTTGCGGAAGCATTAAATCTACTTGCCAGACCCCTCACCATGACGGCTACCGTGACTGCCAACAGTGAGACTGTCACACAATCCTTAGGACAAGTCTATTATGCGCCCGAAGGATTGCAACGCTATGTGTTTACCCCACCCGTGGAAGAATTTTATGAGGTGCAAACAAATCATTGGGATGAAGTGGAAATTACCCTGAAAGAACTGGATGACCAGAAAGTAAATTTTTACAGTCAAAGTCAGTGTGTGATTCGACTGCATTTTAAGAAAGAATAAGACACACAACATTTCAATTGTAAAATCAAATTTTATTAAGTGAATAAAAAAACAGAATTACAGATTAAGTTTGCGTTTTGCTTGCATGATAGTTTTGACAATCCGTTCTTGCTTGGTTTTCTTGCCTGGGAGCTTTGAAATAGCGCGAATCATTTTATCGTCGGCTTTCCACTTGTCCTTTCACTACTAGGAGTATGTATGTGAAACACCATGTGAAAAACGTGTGAAAAATGTTCTATTTTCACACATTTTTCACACGTTTTTCACACACTTTTCACATGCATTTCACACATATTTCACGTGCATGTGAAATTTTGCATAGTGAAATATATGTGAAAAGGGTGTGAAGCGACGTCATCTCTTTCACACATATTTTCACATACACTTCACATGGGGTTTCACACAGGCTTTCACATGTGAATCCTCATTTAAATTCACACATATTTTCATACACTTCACATGGGGTTTCACATGGGCTTTCACATATACTTAATCCTCAATGAATGGCAAAACATCTAGAATTTCACATGCTACTAATTCACACATTATTTTCACATACACTTCACATGGGGTTTCACATGAGCTTTCTCAAACTCATTAATAATTCATTAAGAAAATACAAAGGAAATTAATGTTTAATGAGTGTTTGGAAATCGGATGAAACACTGCTTAGTATTTGCATCCTTAATTTCTACTTCAAAAATGATTTTGTTTGAGAAGAAATATCAAACATTCGACACAGTGTTTCATCACCAGATGAAACACCTCGAAGTTTGTCAAAAATACTCCGCTGCACGTCGTATTTTCAACTCTCTTCTCGGTGTTTCATCTGGTGATGAAACACTGCATCTCATGTTTGATATATTACTTCACATGTAAATCCTCAGAGATCGGAGATCATGAATGGCAATAGAATTTCACTACCCTGCGAGCAGAGGTTTGTTTACACGTAAACAAACTAACTACGCGACAGACAAGCCACCCAAACGACTTCATAAACGCTAAAAGCCATGCGAGAGAGAAAACTCCGCTTGCAGGGTAGAATTTCCCATACCACTCACACAAATTGGGTATGTTGTTTCACAAGCAAATATTCAGTAAATAAACTAGCTTAGATCAATTTACACACAAATTTACATTTGCACTTTCTGCTTGCAATAAATTTGTCTGATGTACTGTCAACTGCATGCATGGTTGTGTGTTCATATAGTCACAAACAACTTCAGGTTTATAGCCTGATCTGTTGGTTTATTTATAATTTTACGGTATTTTCAGAAGAACTTGATTTATATAAAACTGGCAAAAAGTGAAAAGCAAACTGGATAGAATTGATTGGCAAAGGAAAGTGGTTTCATATTATCAACACGGTGAAACTCAGTTCAACTGACTCACATGTCCCAAAATGAACTTAAATGTAAATTTAAGTTACTCAAAAAGGCACATAAGGCTAATGGAAACATCAATGTCTAATCCTGTATATTTGTCAATATTTATTGCCTGGAGGATAATAATAAAAACAAAACTTTCTATCACGCTTAGTTTTTATACCTTTAATTCCTACATCAATAAAATAACTAATAATATACTAATTTTTGGTTAGAAATATTTCTTATAAATTGTAATAATTATGATAGTAAATGACATAGTGGCCAATTTACAATTTCCACTTATTAAGGAATACCAAGTTACAGAAAAGCAATCTAGCACTCAATGTCAGTGAAAAGACAAAGTACATAAACAACTTTGAAAAATACAAGCATGTTTATGGAAAAAAATAATGCTAACTGACTGCTTCTTTCAAAGTGGCTGAACAGCTTTCTGAACTGAAGGTCCACACATCAGACTAGATAGAGCTGCCTTTTATTTTTGACCTTATTGCAGATGTATGAATATTATGAATCGAAGCTCAAATAAACAAACCTACTCAAATTTTATAGGTTTAGTTCAACTCTCAAGTCATTGTAAATTAACTGGAAACTTAATTGCTTCCAACTTGTAGTATACATTGCATGCATATCGGAAACTTATGTTATTTCTTCTCCTATTTTATTTAACATTGGTCTTGACAAGTCTGCCACAGCCTACTAGCGCCAGAACATAAAATTTTCAGAGTATTCCATCGACGATTTGCAACAAAGAGTACAGTTTTTTCTGCAGTAAACAAAAAGGAATCAATCAATGGCATATCTGTGCATGCATCTTAAATTAAGATGTATCTTTGAAGGTTCCAGCTTACGCAAAGTCATTAGAAAACCAAAGTAAGCTCTTGTTAACGAACCACGATATCAAGAAGAACATACCTTTCTGCAATAATCCAGCTGAGTTGCTGACTTGGAAACATGCTTTTTGTGAAGAATTTTGCAATTGATCACTGTCTCTCGAAAATAACATGGGTATTATTGACAGACTCTCTTTCTATCTATCCGAAAGTAACGAAAATATTCTGTTTGCATCGCTGTGTTGCTTGTGAAGTCCGCGTGAATTTGAACTATTCAACGGAACTTCATTTTACAATTTTCTATTGTAAATCAAATTGCGCATGTGCTAAAATCACGGGGAAGCCTGGGAAACAACAAACATGGCGGCTAATCTTGCGATGGAGAAAGTGCACTCGTTTGAGTCGAAAAAGCGGTTATTTTCAGCATTGATTAGAATATTCCAGTGCATTTGAAGTGTTAGAAGCAAGAGAAAAACTTAACATTGTTCCTTTAAGTTGGGAAACCTTTGAGAATTTAAGGAAATGCTGGCCTTCACTACATGAATCTAAGTTGCGACTAAATACGTGTTGTGGACGTTTTTCATGTTGGATAAGCTCAGGTACGGAAAGCTGATTAAACCAAAGGCAACTTGAGCAAACCAAGAGCATGCCAGTTGTTTTCTTCAAGGAATCATTAGTTGAACGAACGGTATCAAATGAAAACTCAAAAAGCATGCAAAGCAAGGAACTGTTCGCATGTTCAAGTGGACTTTCAACATTACAACGAGGAACGTTACAGTAAGAAACAAAACATTCATAAAGTGTAGTTACACATGTCATATATGTTAGCAAAGTAAGTTTTCTGATGGAGTAATAAAATTAAGTCCGTTTTGTCCTCAATGAAGATCTGTTGAAAGAATGGTTTAATTCCCAGGATTTAGCCCTCCCCACTTAACAAAAATCATGGTACACATCTCTCTGGGTGGAAACTCAAGTGGTAAGATACACAACCCACAAATTTAGATGAGACAGTTGATAAAATACATAAATTTATATAGCATGATCTAGCAAACAATGAAGACAATGATATTTGTAAAGATGCACATGTGGATCGGATACTCGAAAGGTTTTAATCAAGCCAAATATAATGAAGAACGTACAGTGTATTCAGGGCTTTCAAAATGTTTCGAAGTAGGCGCCAACTCTGGAAAAGCAGGCGGCTGTGACAATCGAGATTGTTTGTCACAAGCTAATTGTTATGACCAGCGCAACAACTCTAGTCTCCGGCTTCTTTTGAAACCCCTGTGTATTTAACAATCATTAATACAGTTATTGACTGAGAGATCTGGTTGCAAGCTAGATCATGGCAAGAGCTTTGAACGTTAATTCCAGTCCGATGCTTTACAAGAGGGCCCTTCTGGGGCTTGGCACTTTGGTATATTGGGGTTCGCCTTTAATGGCGATGATGATGATGATTTGTAACAGCACATTTGTTGTGATCACTTGCCTTAAAGGTCTGACGCATTAAAGTATAGTGAATTTTCTAGGTTAGTAACTTATCAAATCTTATTCTTCAAAAATTCATGACCCTCATAGTCAACTTAGTTTGATATTTATCAGCTATGAGCAGTAGAATGCTAGATGTGGCATGACATGAAATTTAATTTTGCAGTTTTTATGAGCCATGAAATGCCTTTCATGGGGTATTCACTAGAAATTCATAGCATTTTCATAAAAATATGGTTCATAGTGGTTGCATTTAACAAGCCCTAAAAAAAATTCACATGCTCACTCTGACATGCCTAAAAGTGTTCACATGCATGTGAAAAATTTCACATGCATAGCATCTATTATGCATGTGAAATTTGAAGTTCACATGCATGACAAAATTGTTTCACATGTATGAAACGATTTCACATGTAATAAAATGCATGGAAAAATAGTTCAGACATATGACAAAAATTTTTCACATGTATTACAAAATTTCACATGCACATCAAAAAGTTCACATGCATGTGAAATGCTGATGTGGTGAACTTGTATTTTTCCCAACATTGATTTCACATGGTTCCTTTTTTTCACACACATAGCCCTAGTAGTATTTAAATTTTTCGCTTTGGAATAATCGATGTCATGGATTTTTGCTAATTCGTCTAATCTATTGACGCCTCGGTCACCCCTCCTCACTCTTTCCTTAAGCCGGGTCCCTGGACCAAGATAATTCATTTTTGGCCAGTGAAACTCTTTGCCTGTTTTTTCAATTAATTTTTGAATATCCAACGCAGCCCCACGCTGACCCTGCTTTCTTTTCTTTTGTGGTCTTTTTCTGCGAACCTTCCTTTTACCAGTCTTTGCCATCCAATCTTCTTTTCGCCGGCGTCCCAAACGGTCTCCAACCTGGAGCAGGGGCGAGTTTCTTTAAGGCTCTTTCTTGAGCTCTTTTCGCTGCCTCGTTAAATTTTTTTTAATACTCTCCTTCGCTTTTACCAAAGGGGATTCAGCGGCAAGGCCTTCTTCTTCTTCTTCCGCTGTACTAAAAACACTGGTAGGAGGGGAAGGAGTCTTTTTCTTTTTAGGAGTCTTGTATCCAGAGGAAGAAGTCTTTTTAGGGGTCTTGGGTAACAGCCGCTTTGCCTTGGATCCTGTCTTAAAAGTTAACTTGGGTTTTTTACTCGTAGAAGGACTTTGTTTGACCACAGGCGTTTGTAACACTGATTGAGGGGTGACTGGTTCTGCTTTCCTTTTTATAGCTTTACTGATTTTTGAAATGTTCCCCATAAATTGCTGTAATGGACCAACCGCTAAATTTCCCTCCTCATCATCGCTATTGGAAACATCCTGCCCTATCCCGCGCGTTCCTCCTGGCTGACGAATTTTCTTAACCCATTGTTGTAATTCTCGGTTCACGGATTTCAAACGGGGTTCTTTCCAAGTATCTGGCGCAGGACTCTCCAGCAAAAATTCTATTTGAGCGGCTAAAGTGGCTATCGTCTAAAAGATTAGATTTGTATTTATCCCGCAAACGTAAAAATTTCACAGAGTTTTCAATCGGTGTGGATGAAATACCGTCCATGATGGCAAATGAACATCCTAGTCAAGCCATGCGCTTATACCTGTTTGGGTCTGCATCTCCCTTTGAGTATTTGTTGAAACACTTTGATCATTTGTGCAATGAGAAGCACATAATCTAATATGCATAGGAGTCGTTGTAACACTTTACGTTTCATGACTGATATTGCCTTTTAGCACAGTGATAACAGTGATTTAATTCTTTCCACGCACCGGCTCCTATTTGTGTAGCCATCAGATGTTTGCGCCTTTTTATACTCTGACGAGGATTCGCAATGACTCGGAGAGATTGACGATAGGGTTTTAAATGACTGACCGTCTTTCTACCAGGCGCAACGTGTTCATCACCAGTTCACCCACTGCATTAATTTGATCCGCATTCGCATACCGTAATTTTTGTTGCCGTTTATTTTGGTTGGCTTCTTTTATCACATCGCTTAAAAAATGACTCTGTCTGGTCATTCGTCCCGTCATGTTTATTTCTTTCTTCATGTTGGTTGGCGTCTCCTCCTTTTATACTTCTTTTTCTCTAACACTTGGATTGCTTTCCTCGTGCCATAATCCGTCAATGCACTTAAACCTCCTAACGCGGCCGCTTTTCCTCCAGTGGCTAAAGCTGGAATCGCTGCGGCTAACATGGGAGCAATCCCTCCTCGTTGTCTTCCTACCCCCGGTTTACCTTTTCTTCGTTTTGGTTGTCCTTTTCGTTTCATGTTTGGATTTGCGTTTGTTTGAGAGTGAACGGCTATTTATATCTTCGTCAAAGGTGTTAACACGCGTGGCTCCCTCTTCTTTGGTTAAATGACTCCAAATGCGAAAACAGTCATCTGAGGCAGGATGTAAATCCAACATAAAATACCCAAAAGGACGGGAGGTCAGCTTTAAAAACAATTTGAGTACTTGACGCCATTTTTCAGGGTACACCTGAAGCAGTAAATGTCGAATACCTGTCTTATCCCTGGGTGATTTAAAACAAATCACATAGTGTGCATTGCGGTTAATGGTTTTCGCAAACTTGCCCGGGGGAAAGAGATCTTGTGTAATATAAAGAGCAGTGATGCCTCAATGGTGAGAATCTTTCGTAAATAAATCCAACACACGCTTATCACTTCCCGATTCTTCCATTAAATCATCCAAAATGAGTATGCCATGATGCCCTGGTTTAAACCATTTCACGAGAGCGCCTTCAGGAGGAAGTCCTTTGTACAAAATAATGTTTTTTCAAGCGATCAAATCGGGGTTGCCATCGGTCATAACAATACACTACTTTTTTCGGAGGTCAAACAATGTTTTTTCTTTGAGTAATTTTTCCACTAATTCACTTTTCCCGCTACCTGAGGGACCTGCTACAATCACGCTAGCAGGTTGTCGAATCATTTTCGCCGTCTGTAATGTTGTACGTTATCTTTTATACCTTTCAGCGCTTGTTTTCCTAAAAAGGCCCCTAATTTGATAAAACTAGGAGAAGGACCAGACAACCCCATGGCGACTCCCTCTACAATTTTATCCACCAGACGTGGTTTTCGTCTAAATCGTGCACCCCCTTTTTGACTTTTTCGTATTTTTAGGACTCTACGATGTCTTCGCCCCATAGTGATTGATACAATCGCGGTGAGTTCAACTGAATAAGGATTAGTATTTGATCTTTCAAATGCGTTTCACCTATTCCTTTTATATGATTTTTTAAGTCCCACCACAACTTAGCTTGCACTAAACATCGTACAAATTGCCAATGATACCCATCCCACAGTTCCGCTGGATCAAGACAGAGTCTGATCCATCCTTGTTTGTGATCTTTCCAATAAGACCATTCTTTTTCTAACAGTGCATTGAGCACTTTTTGAACATCACCCCGTAGTATCATGATAGAAATGACCCAGTCAGAAGTAACACACACAATTTTATTAATGAATGAAAAAAGAACGGTTTACATTAGATTGTTCATACTCTGTCAGCTCTGTTTTAATGAGACGTTGCAGTTGGTCTGCGACTCGCCTATCATTTAACAGTAAATTATTGGAATGCCACTGAGCTAAAAAATCTTGGAAAGAGGCATGTCTGGCTTTTGCTTTTAAAAAGAAAAGGGCATAATGTCCGCACGTAAAACCATCCATGGCTTGTAAAGACTGATCACTTCTAATGATTTCTTTCCACTGGTTGAACCAAGCTTGTAAGGTAGGGTTTTTGTAGGTAGATAGCGGTAACCCATAACTGTCAAAGACTTCACAGGTAGTGGGATTCGTCCAAATCGCTAACCAATGTTCACCCGGTTGACTAGCTGGATCCGTGTTAACAATGTAAGCATTCACTCGTTTCTTAGACACGGGAGGTAATTGGTCTGCTGGAAACATGCCACGAAAATAGGGTCGTAATTCGCGATCGTCTTCTGCTAAGTAATTGAGGACTGTATCACTGAGAGGTACGAACTCCATCCTAGCTGTTGATGGAATAAAGAATTCCTCCCCACTGGTCTATTTCATAGACATTTTCATACTCACTCCAAATTACCACGGTCACATTGTGACCTACATTGGCTCTGAAGTCAATTTCATAGCTGACATTCCCCGTGAGTTTAGGATTTCTATAGCTAGAATCGTCAGCATCCCCTGGAGCATTGTTAAACATGAACAAGGTACAATTGTTACCTTGTCCCCAGTCGCTTGGGAGCAGCATGGGCAGCCTGTGGTGCTTGTAAGTGCCGGACGCTGTGAGAATGCGATCATAGCCTACTAAATCTTCTGCTTTGGAATTGCCTGTTAGTTCTAAGGCTCTGTAAGGGTATTCTCCGTCAATTCGCTGTCGCACTCGGGTAACGCCAAACTTTTCATAAGCATAAGGGTAATGCTTCAGACTACCATTGTAATTCGTGGAATTCATGAGTCCGATAATGACTTTGACAGGAACCTTGTTCAAGAACACATTGTCCTGAGACCAACAGGTGCTGTTTCCATCGAAGAATACGTTCGGATTTCACTTCGAACTACAGGGTAGCGAACTTTTTTGGTTTTACTTAAACTTCTTTCTTTTTGTAGCCTGGAATACACAGAGGCATTGAGCGTGACTTTTTTCATCCACTGTGTGACAAACAAATCATTGTCTCCCAGAGTAGGAATCTTTTTGTTGACAGTCGTAGTCGTGTCTGGGGTACCAAACAGAAACATGTTGCTGTCATTCAAATACAATTCCAGATCAGTCTGCATGTTAGGAACCAAACATTTGCCTGTTTTGAACACGGCGATGTGGGGTTTAAACGACTGGTGAGTGCTTTCAAGCCTGTTTTTCCACTCCAGTTGTTGGGGTTGGGTTTATCATTAGTGCCTGCATTGGTAGGGGTAAATTCTTCAAGGACATTGAGTTCATTCACCCATCCTTGAGCGGCCAAGGTCGTTTCTCTTTCTTGATGATAAAAATTCTGTAGGGTTTCTAGGTAAGCTTTCTGGTGATAGGCATTGCTTTGTTCTGTCATCAACACTCCATTGAAAGACACATTCATTTGATTAAAGAGAGAATGACCAAAATTGTTGACGCAATAGACATATTTGGTATCATTACCATCCGAAGCCCCTGCTTCATCATTGGAAAGTCCTCCTGTCCCTGTGGTGTTCATACGCACTTTGATTTCTAGCTTGGTTTCATTCAAATCATAATAATCATCCCCTGCCGGTACTGTAAAAAGAATAGGGCGTGTTCCAGTATTAGCCAGTTTGAAAGGAATCCACCGTTTGGCTTCATACCTATAGTCAATGTTGGGAATGTCAAACAGATTCAGCGACATGTTGACGGACTGATAGCTTAACGTCGTCTGCGTCGTCTATTTATACGTTTCCGTCCTTTGTTTTTCCAACGGTAGATGACTGGATGGACTTTCCCTCCTTTTTGTTTTCTTAAAGAACGAAGAATCATTGGATCTAATGGTTTATAATTAGTGGATCCCCATGGGTTGGGAGGTTGTCTAAAAATAGTGCCTCCACGTTGATAAGGTGAATGGTAACGACCTACAGATCGTTGATGTCTTATGTGAGATTGTGATTTTTGTCCTTGTCTCATGGTTTACACCCCTAAAATGTCTTTCACATGTTGTCGTTTCTTTTTATAGGTTTGTTTGGCTTTGCTTTTCACAGCCTGACCAATCGCGGCTGGTATTTTACGTTTGAGTCCTCTTTTTAAGACTTCTCCTGAACCTTTTAAGGCTTCGGAGGCTGACGCCCCTTTTTCATAAGCTTGCAATCCGTGTCCAATCGAACGCACTACACTTGGTCCTGCTAATTTTACCAATTCTTGCATAAAACCACTCCCGTGCATAGTGGGGGTATGATAACGCGTCAGTGATCCTCCTAACATGTTGTTTGTTGTAGTTGTGATGTTTCCATAATACAGGGTCTCTTTTATACTTGTTGAAAACCAAGGGTAATGATGGTTTTGCCTGAGGATAAGACCAACAAGGAACCATCTGGTGTAGCCAACGACACTTCAATGCTTTCAATGTGTTGATTTCGAACTCGAATCCATTCACGATGGTAAGGTTCTATGGTCGCTCTCCCTTCTCCTTTTCTTTCTAATTCCACTTTTCTTAACAGCGAATGTCGTTGTGATCCTACAATGGTAGATTCTACAGCGTCACAATAAATCATGACCGTTTGTTTTACGGTTCCCACATGCGTATTAAACAACGCATTTAGATTTTGAAAATGCCAATCCACAGTACGAGTGAGATACAGATACGATTGACCATTCTCTTGTTTGACTTTGAATAACGAGTTTCCTCCTAATGAATCTGATGGACTAACGCTCACAAAATGCTCTCCTAGCCATTGAAACTTATCATTGCTTTTGACGGGTGGGGTGGTTGTCGTATAAGTGGTTGTGGGTAAGACAACGTCTAAATTGGGTCCTAATTGGTATTGGTTGTTTTTGTCTTTGAACAATAAACCAAACTTTTCTGCAAAATCCACATGTATCCTTACAGAGGAAAGGGGGTGAATGTTTAGCTGTCTGTTACGAGCAAACACATCTTCACTGGGTACTTTTTTCAACACGAGGATGTTTTCGTTCCATTCAAAGGTGGGTTTCCAAGTAGATTTCACGGAAACAGAGGCTGTATTACCTTTGGCTGTTTTCCAAGTGTCGAAGGTTGACTTTACATCTTCCATGATGGTTTGTTCCATATGGGTCACAATATTCTGCCATAATTGATGACCTGAATAGACAGGACACGAACTACCCATGACATCTTTCAAAGTCACAGTTTTGTCTTTGGACTCAAAGTTAATAAGCCAATCACTGGCCACAGCATGACGCTTGGTCATGGTGTAGCGATAGTTGAGTAACTTTGTGTCACTATTGCTGTGAATGACCGCAGAATTATGTCCTACATCGGGAACCGACACACTCCACAAACTGGCTTGCCAGGTATTGCCTTCTAAATTGAGTCGCACTGGTAAACGAACTTTAAAACTATTATTTTTGTTTTGGGGGTGTTCATCCGTTGGATCACTGATCAAGGTCAAACGAAAATCCTTCATAACGCTTGCAAATCTTTTTTCCACACCCAACTGTTGTATTTTTTTGGCCAACCCTTCCAAGACACAAAGACTTGTTTCCCTTTGCGTTTTAAGACTTGATCAATACGAAATAACGTATCATCCGGTACAATCAATTTTTGAACGTCCTCATGATAAAACGTTCCTTTTATAGGAGTTCCGTCCCATTCCGTGAGTTTATACGTTACCACCGGTTTTGTCGTATAAATTTGTTTGACTAAAAACACTTCTTCACTCCACCCTGGCAAATAACCTTTTTTAAAGGGACGAAATTTTTTTATTAAGCCTCACTTTATCACCTACTTGACATTGTGGTTTTTTCACTTTTGTCTTTTTTAGTACCATATAAACAATACCAAATTTCTTTTTCGTTGGACAAGTTGACATTGACAGGTTTTTCTTGAATACTACGATCAAATGTATAATTATACGTTTTGACTAAAGCAGGTAACACATCAATATATTTCAATGTATTATGTGCAGTAAAATAACGAAACATGTTCGTTTTCAATGTTCGATTCCATTGTTCCACCACAGAGCCGTGAGGATCACCATGTGTCGAAAAATGATTCACTCCTTGTTTTTTAAAAAATGCTTGCACTTTAGCATTATAAAATTCACCGCCAGAATCCGTCTGTACTTTTTCAGGCAAACGATCTCCTAATCGTGCCCATAGTCTTTGTAACGCCTCCACCATGGCTGTCGCACTTTTACTCTTAAGTGGTTCTACCCACGCAAATTTCGACAGTACATCAATCACCGTCAGTAAATATTTGTAGCCTTTGTTGTATTTGGCTAGTTTTTGCAAATCCACCAAGTCCATAACACATTGTTCGTTGATTTTCAACACCAGGGTTGGTAACGTTTTAAAGCGTCAACGTCTTGGTTTATGCAGGGTGTAACTCAGTACTTGTTGCAAATCCTTCTTGGCTTTGGACACGGGAATCTTGTGTGCTTTGGCAAATTTGGCAACACCTCCCAGTGATCCAGGCTCGGTAGGATCGACATACGAAGCGGATAATTTCCTTGACATAGTACACTAAAGGGCAACTTGCTAAATACCAAAATGAATACATGTTGGCATGATGCTTCTTTAAATAGTAAAACACCTTGATTCTTTCTGAAGGAAAGTGTCGATGCAACCAAGTGATGTACACAGCATAATGTCCCCAGGTTGTATGGTTATGATTTATCATCCATTGAAACAGTAGGATAGGAGGACAAGTGTCTTCAGAGCATAGGTCGTTTAACAAACGACGACAAATCCACACCGTACTTCTATACTGAAGGTTTCCCATGACTGAATGAATACTTTTCAAAACAAATGATCGATTTTTATACGTCTTTATATTCTATTTTTTAGAACACATTTCATTCCCCCTGTTTGAACATGTTTAATTCTCAAGGGCTAGGGTTTAACCCTAACCTAATTAACATTTTAACCCTAACCCTAATACCAAGGGGCTAGGGTTTAACCCTAACTTTATTAGCATTTTAACCCTAATTAGGTTCATGGAGAGGTGATTTGCCCACATGCTAACCCAACTTTTTCTAAACGCTGTAACTCTTCTGAATTGTTGCGGAATCACACCAAATTGGGTATGCGCAAAGTTTGTATCACAATTAATGCCCTTGCTGATTTTTGTCCTAATCGATAAATGTTTCCTGGATTTATGGCGTTTTTAAATTTTTTTGGTGGGCAATGTCACACCAGTGGGAGAATCCTATTAGAATTTCTCATAGAAAGCGGAAATTTTCGAGTTAGAGGTTAAATATCGATCCAAAACTCTCCATGGTTGGCCCTTGAGCTAACCCCCGATGTCGTCCTAAGAAATTTGGTTTTCTCAAAAAAATGCGGTAAAGGTATATGTGTTACACTCTACTTATAGTAAGCTTGAGACCAAAATCGACCTTGATACGACTCACTGAAATTTTGAAAGTGCTAAAATCGGAACCCTTGAGGGTTAAGGTATAAAATTTGGCATGAGCATAGATGGGATGATGAAAAGTAGTATTCTAAAGTTTCACATTGTTTGAGTCAAAAATAAATTAATTATAAATTTTTTTCTGCCAATCGTAAGCCCCTAATTTTAAGGTGGGCACTGTAGCCACTCAATTGTTTTGGATTTTCTTTTCAGATTTCACGTTTGAAAAAAAATTTTTTTTTCACCAACATCTCCTTTAAAAGAGCTTTAAGATGATATGTTCATTTCCAGTTTTTATTTTAACGATCACCTACAAAAAGTCATTTAAAGCCAAAAAATGTGGGCAATTCAACACTTTTTGGGGCATTTTAGATGTTTAGGAAAAAAAATTATAAAAAAAAAGGAATTCAACTAATCTTCCTCAAATTTAGATATGATGTAGCTAAATAAATGATTTAACTTTTTGAAAGGTAACTTGTTAATTCATTAAAATTCTGCGAAGCTATACTGCTCCAATGTTTGCTCTTTTTCAAAACTGTGTTTTGGAATTTAGGTGTCTAAATCATGTTCAACCAAACATAACTCAAGTATTAAGACGCATTATAACAAACTACCTCTTGAAGTTTTACAACTATATCATGGCTATAAGCATGCAGAGTTTCGAACCTAAATAATGAATGCAACCCGAGAAAAGAAATAAAATATTTCTGTACTGCTATATGGCTTTTAAATTACAGTACCCCTGTTTAAAAAATCATAATTATTATTTTTTTTTAATATTTGTCTCTAATTTTCTTAGGATAATTAGCACTAGGCTAAAGCAATATTTCATATCATTTGTATATTTATTTGTTGTAAATACTCTGATTTATTACGTTTGGAAAATCACACAATTATGCATCGCAAAAATTTGTTTTGAAGTGATATAGTATGTAGTTACAACAAATTTAAGATAATTCCTGACTCATACATGAGAAATAATTTGCAGCATATATATATTTAGGAAGAACTTTCAATTACCTTTCAAACGATATTTTGTTTGTCTTTGTAGGTTTAATCCTTATTTTTTATTGATTTTCAAAGTTCGTGTGGTAGCTAAAATAAATTATAGTATGTAGTTACAACAAATTTAAGATAATTCGTGACTCATACATGAGACATAATTTGCAGCATATATATATTTAGAAAGAACATTCAATTGCCTTTCACATGATATCTTTTTTGTCTTTGTAGGTTTAATCATTATTTTTTTATTGATTTTCAAAGTTCGTGTGGTAGCTAAAATAAATCAAACCTTTCCGTGACAATTCCGGACTCATACTCGAAAGGGCTGGGAATGATCCAAAATACCAAATATGGCAAATATTACAATCCCATCACTCCAAATATCCACCAAACATCATTTCCAGCGTCCTTTTGGCCATACAATAGCTTCCCTTAAAATTGAAATTTTGACCCAAAATAGAAGGGTTACCCCTTTGCAAAAAATCCAAGATGGCCGCCAATCAAATTTGAAATCTCCATAAATGGTCAAAGAGACCTTGTACGCACTCTACACCATCAGCAAACATCATTTCCAGGTCCGATTTGACCATGGACAAACTTAGAAGAAATTTGAAATTTTGACCCAAAATCATAGGCTAACCCCTTTGCAATTATTTTCTACTACCTTTTTAAAAAATTGTAACTTATTTGTTTTTATAGGTAGTAAGCTAACATTCACTACATCAGTGGATTGTTATATTTCCTATAACATTCTGAAAATTGAGTGAAAAGAGACCTTTTGGAATTTTTTTACGATTTTTTTAAGTATCCAAAAAATTCATCCTTTATGGGCCTGTGGGCAAGTTTCAGTGAACACATCATGAAGTACCTTTTGTCACAAGTCTTTGGTGGGTGAGTACACACTTTTATTGCTCTGTAAATTTTGCACTTTGGCACCCTTAAAACACTACGCAGAAGCAATCCAACTATCGGAAGTGTTGTCTACGGTGCTCGAGCAACTTTCTTGAACATTTTCTTCCCGTAGAATACGGTTGCGTCTGCGCAGGCTGCGGTCAAAGTTTAAGGGTGCGCTCTTGACCATTATGTTATTAAAGGACCTTTTATTGATGTTTTGATGTTACATTATGCCTGTCCATGTTGTGAATAACCGTTTGGTGTTGATTTTTTTTACATCGGTTCCATTTTTAATTAGTTATGACGTAATTTGTGTCGGAAATTTGCGAGCTTTTAACCATTTGGCCAACAAGTTGTGGCTTTAGATAGGCCTTGACATAGGCTACGTGCATGCCAAATGTTGTTGCAATTCATAAAATCGTCGCAGAGTTATTAGCATCTAAAATTTCAACACAAAATTACCCAAGTGTCCTTTGCAGTCGTGGTTTTAACATGAAAACGAGGGTAAACTTTAAGCCTTTATATCTCCTTGGGGATTTAATGAATTGACTTCCAATTTGGGAATATGATTCTTGTCTACGAATGCAAACTACCTGTGTCATATTTAGTCCTTTATGGGCGTGCCTTTAACATGAAAACGAGGCTTAACTTTAAGCCCTTATATCTCCTTGGGGATTTAATCAATTGACTTCCAATTTGGGAATATGATTCTTGTCTACTAATGCAAACTATCTGTGTCATATTTAGTCCTTTATGGACGTGCTTTTAACATGAAAACGAGGCTTAACTTTAACCCTACATATCACTTCAGGGATTTAATCAATTGACTTCAAATCTGGGATTATCATTCTTGTCTATGAAGACAAACTACCTGTAACATATTAAAGATCTTTGCACATTACAATTTTTGCCTTATTCTAGCTTTCTGGCAAAATTACACGCATGGAACTTACACGTATGCAACGAGTAATTAACCGTGCCCTGAGTGGCGACGAGAAAGCTCTAGCTTTGTTAGACATCGGGGATATCGAGGTGGTACCAAAAACTAAACCCATAACACGAGAAACATTGAGGAGTGAATGTAAATATGCAAGCACCCAGTATCTTGCTGCTATGCACCTTAACCTCAAGAGTTTGGAAAGATTGGCAGAGGTATATTGTCCACCTATGTTGGATAAACAGGCACCGCTTTCAAGACAGTGCATTGACACAAGATATAACTGAAATAGACGAAATGGATATTTTGGAAGAAATGGCTATGATGTGTACAGATTTGCCCCTTACCAGACACGGCAAAGATTTGTCAGATTCGGAGGAGGAAGATGCCCAGAAAAGAGAAAAGAGGCCAAGTTCAGTGTCTAACGCGAAGTCATCAAAAGCAGCCAAACGATCACATCACAAGAAGCAGTGCTGTCAAGTGCCTGGATGCAAATTTGAAGGTTACGATTTGAAAAGGCACATCCAGATCCATGTAAGAAAAGGAGAGATCTCCCAGCAGAATGTAGGCAAATTGACCTCCATAATGTCCCGCGGCCAAAAAAAAAGGGGAAGGTCAGCGCAGAGGAACAAAAGTGGACAGCCCAAAAAAGGGCGATTTAGGAAGTGGTGCCCAGTGCCAGGATGTGATAGAATAGTAGTGAATGTGGGAAGACACCTTTCTTCCAGCAAACAACACAACATCCAGAAAAATAGCTCACATTACGTGAGGTTGCTGAAAACGGCAAAGAGACACAGGCACTGCAGAGCTGCAGGCATACCTTGCAACTTCCAATGAGAGCGCAGAATCAGAAGAAGAAGAAGACGACGAAGAAGAAGACCAGAAAGAAGAAGAAGAAGACCAGGAAGAAGAAGAATTCCAGATCGAAGAGGGGAGTGATAAAGGCAGCCAGTCAGGAGATAACATTGATGAAAACCAAGAAGCAGACGACGATGAGGACTTTGAAGAAGATGACAAGGAGGACTCTGAAGAAAGCGATTATGAAGACTCTGAAAACGAAAAGGAGACCGCAGAAAAGTTCTTCACAGCAACTAAATTCAAGAATAATCGACATCAATGGTTAGTGGGATTCTACGACTATCTATCCCGACCGTCAGCTGGCCACAAAAAAAAAGGCATCAAACTTCAACATGCAGGCCAGATTAAAAATATCCTAGAGTTCATCGACAGCAAGGGTGATGACATTAAATGCTTGGCCAACGATGAAGGAGATGCTGTCTGGAAGAGATTTGTCGTTCCATCATTGGAGAGCCAAAGCAAGAAAAGTGGAACGATCATCTCCTATCTCACGAGCTTTGAGATGTTCCTCAAGTATGTTACCAACCCGAGGTACAATAGATCAGGACCTCCCCTTTACCAAGCCTACATAGATACCTTGGTGGCAGTCCTGCCAGAGATAAAAGGCTGGCGGTCTACCGTGGACTCTCAAAGCCAAGCTGAGAAAAACCAGCGATGGTTAGATGAAAGCGCAGGCTTGTTGACACCAGAAGAAATCAATGCTCTGAAAGAATCAAGACCCTACTCTGATGGCATTAAAGCAATTAATGAAGCTGGCCAGGGAAAAATACTTTCACAACAAGAATTTACCTCAGCGCGCGACATTCTGCTTGTGCGATTTACCACAGACAACGCCACCAGACCCGGCCCACTAAACAACGCCAAACTCAGCGACTATGAAAAGGCAGAAACATCTGGCGGCAACAGAATCATGCTCATTCCAAAGCACAAGAGAGCAAAGGATGGGCCAGCTATACTTGGAATGAAGCCTGATCTCCAAGATCTTATGGAAATCTACGTGAACAAGATCAGGCCCCAAGTGGCAGAGAGAAACGAAGATCACTTGTTTGTCACTGTTGAAGGAAAAAAGTTTCCTGAGGGAACAATTGGAAGAAGAGTTCAATCTCTCTTTGAAAAAGCCAAACTTCGAGATGGCAAGAGATTCGCACATGTGAGTGTAAGGAAATTCGTCACTACAAAGACCAAGGAGAAGGGGACACAACAGGAGGCTGCCATAGTTCAGAGAGTCATGGCCCATTCCTCTGTAACAGCAGAGAGATCCTATGTGCGCACCAACCTCACTGAATTGGGTTCGAAGGCTCTACACATCATCGAGCGAGTCACTGGTGAAAATGAGAACAAGAAAAAGGCTGAGTCAGAGGACAGCAGAGCCAAGAAACAGGACATCAATGCTACGACATCCACTCAAGAAAGATCCGTGACTGTTGAGACTGTAGCAGCCACGAAACCAACCGATGACTCACAGGACAGCGGAGGCCCAAAAGGAAATACAGCTGCTGCAACATCCACTTTGGGAAGAACTGCGAGTGTCGAGACCGCAGCAGCGCTAAAGCCAACCACATCATCTACAACTGAGCAAGAGCAAGACTCTGACTGCGAAGGTGACTGTCAAAAAGCTGAACAACCTTCAAACGCCGCTGAAACAGCATCGAGATCCAGCTATTCTGTGTCTCTACTATCAAGTGAAGTGCTGCCACCAACACCAGGCAGAGCCTTGACGGATAAGCAAAAGGAAGCCATAAAGAAAGTGTTTAACCGTGAGATAACTGCAGGGACAAAGGTTTCGAAGGCAACAGTTCAAAACAGGTGCTGCACCACACCTGTACTGGCAGTCCTGGCATCCTCACTAAAGAAAGTGAAACAGGTTGTGAACCACGTGAACTACATCATTGACAGTAGCCCAAAAAGTCTTCCAACAGAGTTACCAAAGCCAACCACCTCCAAAGTGCATGGGTGGTTAGACGAATTTGATGATCGCTCAACGAGATCGAGTGGCAAGAGGCAAGAGTGGGACGAGGCGGATACCACAGCACTAGAGAAAACTTTTAAAAAGTACCCTTCGTTGCCATCTACAGCCCAAATTAAAGGAATTCTCAGGGACCAAAGAAACCTCGCTGACATCTTGGATAGGGAAGGCTGGACAAGAGTTTACACTAAAATAAAAAACATTTTCAAAAAAAAAGCTAAAAAATAGACAGCATCAACAGCCCTGTAAATTCGTGAGGGATGAAACATGAGCTAGGGTACCCAACCCCTGGGGAGTGCCCACGAATTTTACTTGGCAGTTTGGTTGTTGTTTAAAAAAAAAAAAGTAAAAAAAGTAGAAAAAAAATTGTTCAGTGTTGTGTAGATGTTGTAACTGTAATTGTCCGTCTTGTCGTGTAATGTATATGTTTGTCCTTGTATTTGTGTTCCTCTCACAGTAGTCCTACCTTGTCGTGGTTGAGAGGCTTGAGTGCCTTAATGACCCTGAGAGCTTTCCCAGCTCTATTGCTGGACAGTTTTCAGAGGGAAGAGGCCAGACTAAAGGGACTACCTCATCGTCTTAACAAGTTAAAGGCATTTGCAGGTCCGATTTGACCATGGACAAACTTAGAAGAAATTTGAAATTTTGACCCAAAATCATAGGGTAACCCCTTTGGAAAAAATGCAAGATGGTCGCCATCCAAATTTGAAATCTCCATAAATGGTCAAAAAGACCTTGTACGCACTCTACACCATCACCAAACATCATTTCCACGACCGATTTGACCATGGACAAACTTAGAAGAAATTTGAAATTTTGACCCAAAATCATAGGGTAACCCCTTTGGGAAAAATCCAAGATGAGCGCCATCGAAATTTGAAATCTCCATATATGGTCAAAAAGACCTTGTACGCACTCTACACCATCACCAAACATCATTTCCAGGTCCGATTTGACCATGGACAAACTTAGAAGAAATTTGAAATTTTGACCCAAAATCATAGGGTAACCCCTTTGGAAAAATGGAAGATGGTCGCCATCCAAATTTGAAATCTCCATAAATGGTCAAAAAGACCTTGTACGCACTCTACACCATCACCAAACATCATTTCCACGACCGATTTGACCATGGACAAACTTAGAAGAAATTTGAAATTTTGACCCAAAATCATAGGCTAACCCCTTTGGAAAAAATCCAAGATGGCCGCCATCCAAATTTGAAATCTCCATAAATAGTCAAAGAGACCTTGTACGCACTCTACACCATCACCAAACATCATTTCCAGGTCCGATTTGACCATGGACAAACTTAGAAAAAATTTGAAATTTTGACCCAAAATCATAGGCTAACCCCTTTGGAAAAAATCCAAGATGGCCGCCATCGAAATTTGAAATCTCCATATATGGTCAAAAAGACCTTGTACGCACTCTACGCCATCACCAAACATCATTTCCAGGTCCGATTTGACCATGGACAAGCTTAGAAGAAATTTGAAATTTTGACCCAAAATCATAGGCTAACCCCTTTGGAAAAAATCCAAGATGGCCGCCATCGAAATTTGAAATCTCCATATATGGTCAAAAAGACCTTGTACGCACTCTACGCCATCACCAAACATCATTTCCAGGTCCGATTTGACCATGGACAAGCTTAGAAGAAATTTGAAATTTTGACCCAAAATCATAGGGTAACCCCTTCGGAAAAAATCCAAGATGGCCGCCATCGAAATTTGAAATCTCCATATATGGTCAAAAAGACCTTGTACGCACTCTACACCATCACCAAACATCATTTGCAGGTCCGATTTGAGTGTTTCTCTCTCAAAGTAGTCCTTTCTTGTAGTGTTTGAAAGAAATGTGTCCCCTTCTTGTAAGACGCATGCGCAAAACATTACAACTAGTCCACAAGATAGAGGAATGCAAAATGAGTCATCTGGCAAAGTTTCATCTTATTCGCCCACAATTTCTCAGTTCTAAAGGAAAATAACCTTCCTGTATAAATTATGCAAATTAGCGGAAGGGCATTGTAACACATAAGGTGGGCAATGAAGCAATGGTGGGCGATGTAACATTGATTAGGTGGGCCATGTAACACTAAGAGTGGGCCGTGTCACACTAAGAGTGGGCCATGTAACACTAGTGGGCCTTGTAACACATGTTAGGTGGGCAAAGTAGCCAAAATGTGGGCGATGTAACGCAGGAACCTAACCCTAACCCTAATCCCAAGGGGCTAGGGTTTAACCCTAACCTTATTAGCATTTTAACCCTAACCCTAACCCTAACAAGAAAACAACCACAAACAATTCCTTTTCAACACTTTTATTTAAAAATTGACAGAACTAGTAATTGCCTGTTTCCATGCTATGCATTCTTTAAAGAGTAACTCAAAAGATACCAGTTCCAAATGTTCTAAATGTTTCGTATGAATAGGGTTCCATGCCCACTTCCCTTCTTCGAGCATTGTTTGCATCACATTCTTGCAAAAATCTCTTTTCTCTTTCTTGTTTTTGCTTGTCTGTTTCTTCAGGTTCATATACATTCACCAATTGAGCAAAAAAACGTTCCTCAACTGGCGTTAAAGGCAATCCCTTCTGCTTTCTGTTGCGGCAGTAGGAAGCCAAACTGCACACTTTTTCAGGCAAATAACCAAAAGACCAGTCCTTATACACTGCTTTGGCGATGGCTACTTCGTTCTTTTCATACTTTTCACCCCCGGGAGGAGGTTTCTACTCATCATGTTTACTTGCTATGCATGCATTTAAGAACTTTTCATCCGCAGGTGACAGAGAATGACCTTTGCTTTTTTGTTTTTCTAGATACTCAGCTACATTTGCATCAGCTGGAGGGAGATGATGCCACCCCTTAACACGAGAATTAAACCTATGGTTGGCAATACTAGTAGTGAGGGACGTCACTGGGGAACTCAAAGGATGCCGCCTCCGCCACTATTGTTCTTAGGTGTCAATCAAAGTTCTATTGTTTAAGACTCATCAAAAATTCAAGATTGCGGAGAGCGCTCGAAGAGTGTTCGGAACTTAGTTACTTATCATCGGTAAAGATGAACTTATATATGTGGAGGCAAGTCATGACTCACCCTTGTGGGACAGAATGTGTCTTGTGTACTACGCATGTGCAGTATCGAATCTTGTGTAAAAAAGTAAAAATTTTTTATCGACTCAATCAGGGATCGAACCTGAAATCTTCTGATGTAGTGTCAGATGTGTTACCATTACACCACTGAGCCGCATATAGTGAGAAGTATTTTATTTGGTTTTTCTAAGAAATCGTTTACAATTAGCGCATAAAGCTTCCATTTCGCCAGCCCCAATCCAGACAACTTTGTTTAGGTCTGCCGCTTTCTTTTCAGCTGCTCTCTTCTTCTCTCTTTGTTGCCTTCTCATTTCTTTTCTTTTGAGGCTTTGAATATACTCTTTGAGGGTAAGAATATGAGTTTCTTTGAGTTTTAAAATAGCCTTGAGATGTTTTAATTCTGCTTGACAGCCAAACCAAGCTTCTCCGAGTTCTTTAGTTCTGGACATCTTTAAAACGCGAGCCTTCTAAAAGTTCCCAGAATGTGTGTCTAATTTATAAGTTCCAGTCAGTGGTTTTGTATGCTAATTCATGTTTGCTTCAAATTTGCATGAGAACTCGCTGAGTCAGCTATTTTGCTTTTAGGTCTTAGAAAAAGAAAGACCTGAAAGAGAGAAAGATTTGAACCCGTAAGCTTTAGCGTAATGAAAAGTTACCTGGCGTCGGTACTAACGCTTTGCGCTAAGCCCGTTCTGACGAAAGTTTATTGCAAAATAAACTAGTCTTTCTCATTATTGGTAATTGACTTCTAATCATTTGGTGGTTCCTAAAAGAACCGTTTTGTCATAAGACAATTAGTAGGATCTGTTTTTCCTACTTAGAAATTGACAATAGTACGTGAAGTTAAATGGGTAGGCTGAAATTATTTGCCATTTCTCGCCTGGCACTTTCTCAGAATAATACACCACTATGTGTTTGGCAGGAAAGCCTTCCGGATCTGTACCAATTTGCCGGTTTAGTTTAAACATGAACAAATAAAAGCGTCCATGGTATTCGTTCCAGCCCTCGTGTATTACGCAGACGTCTTCGTGATGTTCCCAGGTGAGTTCAGAGACAGCCTTTAACAAATCGACTAAATCGATTTGTGACTCAAACTTAGAGGCTCTCAAATGTTCGTTTTTAAGAACATGCCTCTCGTCAATATGGTCTGCTTGTTCTTGCGTTAGGAAAGTTCTCTCGGTTTCAAAAGGTGAAGCCATCGTTGAAAATAAAATTTTTTCTGGTTCACCTTAAAACAGATTGCAAAACAAAAAGAGTTCAACTTGAAAAAGAGCGAAAAGGGGTATTGTTTTTTGCCGACTTAAAAGAGCGGTGCGCTAAAGTTTAAAACTTGAAAGAACGGCGAAAAGTTAATTGGTTTTTGCCGCACTACATTTGTGGTCTCCGCGCCAATGAGCGTGAATCTGACGTGAACAGCATAAAGGAAGGGTGAATTTGGTTAAGTCACTTTACTCTGCTCATCCCAGTGTTAAGATCAACGTTTACGTTACTCAAGATGAAGACTTTATATCAACTCGCCTTACAAGCAGTACCCAACCCTGGGTTCATGGCCGAGACCTTTTTAGTCCCCCACCATCCTGCTGCCAGAGATTTACAGACGCTACAATACACCCAAGACAGAGATAGATATAGAGAAGAACATCGCGTCCTTATCAGGTTTGTCTACGCATATTTGTGTTTTATCGAAACCATGTTTTCAAACTCAAAAATATATCCAAGGGATGTTGCGTTTTTAAATCGATTGTGGAAACAAATTCACGATTTACTTGAGTGAATGTTGTGTTTTAGACCGATTCTGGAATCCCTGTTTTGGATTAAAGACTGCACCTGGTTAAGTGTGAAGACTAAATGTTGCATGATTGAACTGTAAACGTGTTTTTAAACGCGCTTGTTGACTGTTTTATTTTAGAAATACTATAAACGCCTTAAAATTTCGAAGATGGAACACGTATTGTCACAAAACGGAGTGGGTTGCTGTTAAGTATCAAAAGTACGGAGAAGATTCAAGATGCCCACATTGTAAACGAATTAGAACAACTCGTTTAACCTTAGACGGTTTACGATTGCAAAGGCAAAAGAAATTTGTGGATAAGAATGCGGAGGCGCGTTTAATTCAAAACTATTACTATTCGCCTATTCGTAGACACTTAGAATTGTAAATGTTTGTTTGTTTCATCTCTTTAGAAAATGTTTGCGTCAACTAAAGAACCGTCATTTTTGTAGATCAGCCCAATGGGTTTCATTTAGTTGAGAAACCTGTTCTCAGTGTCTTAGAATTGCCGTGGAAGGTTTGAGCGTGGAGGGGCAAATGAAACATGACCGCTATGAAAGAGTGAATTTTGAGAGTGAACGGCAGAAAATTTTTAAGTTATATAGGGGTACTCCAATTTTAGAAAGACGTGAGATACTTGAAGATAGAATAATGCAATCTCTTGGTTTGTTTTTATAGAAAAGTGTTACTGGACATTCGTTTTTCACCTTGTAATCCTTTTACGGAGTGGATTGAAATGAACCAGCAGAAAACTGATTTTCGAATTACTGTGTTAAATGTAACCTTGGATGATTTAAAGTTAATAGACGAACCTTTTTTTCCCGCATATTACATCCATGATCGAGCGCTTTGAGCGAACCTACGCTCACTTAAAATTAGATTTTCCTTGTTTTTTTCAAGATTATCAAGATGACTTTGTTGGACCAGATTCACTACGAATCTGATATGTTCCAGTTTGTAAATAAGAAGAAAGTGCTTTGAAAAGGACTTTAGCCGACTAGCGGTTAAAATACGTTCCTCTCATTGCATTTACTAGAAAGTTATTGTAACATTTTACCGAAGGGAGAGTTTGCGTGTAATTTACTTGTGTCTTTTGGGGAAAGAGAAATGAACTGAACTGTCAAATGAACGTTCAGGCAGGGAGGGGTTTTTCTTAGAACTAATGAACTGAACTGTCAAATGAACGTTCAGGCAGGGAGGGGTTTTCTGAGAACTAATAAACTGAGCATTGTCAAATTCAGGGAAAAGAACAAAGAGTGTAGCTGACTCAGCCAAACAATTTTGTGCAGTCTTGAACGGCTTTTTGAAATCCTCATTAGAACGTTCTTTTGTTTATGACGCCTGAATGCAAATCGAATCACGTATTTAACTTATTCGCGTCTCTTTGAGCGTCATTCAGTTTATTCTGTCTTACCGTGCTGAGCTTTTTTGCTAAATCAATTTCCGAAAACGATGGATCCCTATATTCTTGCTTTAATGAACGACTCGCTTGATTCCTGGCTGGCAGATGTGCCTGACTGGATATCTAGTCAAGGAGAAGAATTAATGGATTCGGACGATGAAAACAAATTGCTTATCGCCGCGCGCCGTGCAGATCAGCATGGTGGGAATCCGTTATTTGCCGTGAACATGGAGCGAGTTAGAGTGCCCCGTTCATTTCACCGTGGCGTGGCCCTCCAAATGCAAGTCCGATTTTCTCTAGAGCAACTACGCCCACCGAATGGAGAATATCAGGGAGAAGCGGTTGCAGAAGCCTTCCACCAAGGGCTAATTAATTTTATCCGCGATCCTCGCAATGGCATTGTAAACCCTGACAAGTATTCTATGTCGATGGCGATCCATCACAGCACTGGAACTCATACCTGGACCAGTTGTCCTAGAGTTCCCCTGAGCGAGTGGCTTCAAGGTTCGCCCCTCACGCGCCAGTGGTTGGAAAAGCTCGCAAAACAACTGAACTCGGTGGAAAGTTTTGATGCTGCAAGCGGCGAATTTTTCGCAGAACTGTCTTTTTTTAAGACCCAGCAACGGGGCGGAAGACCGGCCAGAAACAAGCCAGGCAACAAGTCGTTTGAGCAGTTGCTCAATAAACGATCCGTGATTACCATTAAGAACAAAGATGAACTTTGTTTCGCCCGAGCCTTTATTTCTCAAGGACGCGGACTGCAAGGTCATCTTGCCTACAAACTGCATCAAGAAGCCGGGGTTCCTGAAGGACTGTGCGGTCTGCCGGAAATTCAGAAAATGCAAGAACATCTTGGCCCTCAAGAGTACCAAATTAAAATCATTGAAGGAATCTGCGGCACTCTCTGGTATTGCGATGACTCGTTTGATTCGGCGCCTAAAAAACTGTGTCTACTCAAAGTAGAACAACATTTTCACGGGTTACGAAGTGTACCCGCCCTCCTAAACAAGGGTTATTACTGCCACCAATGTAACAGAGGTTACAACCAAGAGAATGCTGAGCACCATAATTGTTCTCGTCAAAACTGTGACAAGAGCCGAAGAAAAAACGCCCTGATTACCAAGAAAGAAAGTCTGTTCGCGTATTCTGTAAGAATTGCGGTCAAACCTTTTACGGACAGAACTGCTTTACCGCTCACAAAACAAAGCTGTGTCAGCGATTCAAAAAGTGTCCCGAGTGCTGTAAAACGTACAAGTTTTCAAAGAAAAAGAAACGTGTGTGGTGAATATCGATGCCCCAATTGCAAAAGCAAAGTGTTGCCGAATCATCAGTGCTACATACAGCCCCTTGAAATGGACTTTAGCAATCTTCTCGCCCAGGCCGATGAAATGAACGAAGAAGACCGCGCGATTTTAGAAGATATGGCCGAAGCCGCGGAAAAAAGTGAACAAGAAGAGGACAAAGAACCGCCCCCGCTGGTGTGTTGCATTGATTTTGAATGTGCAGTCGATGAAAATAAGGATTTTGAGGATGTTCGTGTGGACTGGCAATATGTGAATGTGGAAGGCAGCTACCGCGAAGCAGGCAAGGCAATGGATATGTTGAGTGATGTGATGTCAAAAACGGTCACGGCTGAATTGAAAGAACGGAAAGTTTTTGTGTTTGCGCATAATATGTGAGGCTTTGATTCCTCGTTTATTTTGCAGTTGTTGTACGATAAGGGCTACTAGGTGGAAAAAGTGTTGAGTATGGGGGCTAAATTTTTATCATTTCAGTGTGGAAATATGATTTTTCGGGATTCTTTGAATTTTTTTTAACATGCCCTTGGAACGCTTGCCGGCTACGTTTAATTTGAAGGAAGCGTATAAGGGTTTCTTCCCTTATTCCTATATTTCGGAGGACAAGATTAATTACATTGGCGAGTACCCCAAAGCAGAAGATTACCATCCAGAACGTATGAATGAAAAACGGCGAAAAGAATTTCTGGCGTGGCATAAAGAGAAAGTCGACAGCGGCGCCATCTTCGACTGTCAAAAAGAACTGTCCGCTTATTTGAAAAGCGATGTGCAAGTCTTAACCCAATCCATGGAAACATTTGCAAAAGAAATGAAGGAACTGACAGGTATAGACCCTATGGTGGAATGCGTCACCATTGCCAGTACCGCTTTTAAAGTGTTTCAAAAGAAGTTTTTGGAGCCATACACCATTGCCTTGGAACCTCTGGGTGGCTGGCGTCACAACCAACAAAATCAGAGCATCGAGGCCTTGCAGTGGCTGGAATTCGAAAACACCAAGATTGGTGGCGGTATTCAGGTATGATTTTGTTAAGCTGCAGTGTTTTTCCACACTTAAGTTTTTTAGTTGCAGTAAAAGTCTGCACATTTGAATTTGAACACGCAGCGTTTTACCGCAAATTTCAGTTCGTGAATTGTTTACGACTGAGCAAACGTGAATGCATGCTTTCATTCAAAAATGTGCTTAAAAAGTCTGCACTTAAGAAAATTTATTTGCAGTGTTTTACTGCATTTTTCAGTTGACGAACTGTTTACTACGGTGCAAATAGGATTGCACGATCGAAAAATTATATTCTGCGGACCGCGCAGGAAACAATAATATTATTTTTTCTCTTTTACAGCATGTATGAAATTCCTTGGAGGGTGAAGTCAAAGTGATCACCCCTGCTCAATCGTACAGTGTGGATGGGTTTCACGCAGCCAGCAATACCGTCTACGAGTATAATGGGTGCATTTTTCACGGCTGTCGAAAATGCTACCGTAAGCAAGGAAACCTGAAACGCTTTTGCCATCCTGACCGAACTGTCGATGAAGTCTATGAAGCAATGCTAAAGAAAGCTTCCATCCTTCGTGAGGCGGGGTACAACGTAATGGAAATGTGGGGCTGCGACTTCGCAAAACAGAAAGAAACACATCCAGAGTTGGTGGAATTCTTGGAAACTTTCCATTACGTCCCGCCGCTTGAACCGCGAGACGCATTCTTTGGAGGGCGAACGGGAGCCGCGACCCTTTACTCAAAAGTTGGTGAGGATGAGGAAATCAGTTATGTGGATTTCACATCCCTGTACCCAAGTATCAACAAGTATGGAACGTATCCTGTTGGTTTCCCGCAGATCATTTATCAGCCCCAAAACCAGAATATTAGCGAGTACTTTGGCATCGCGCAAGTTGATATCCTGGCTCCCGAGCGGTTGTACCACCCTGTTCTGCTGGTCAGAGCCGGCGGAAAACTTAGTTTTCCTTTCTGCAGGTCATGCGTTCAACAAGAGTTAGCCAACCCTTTGCTAGAACGGAGCAATATGTGCGGTCACACACGCGAGGAACGTATGCTGAAGGGAACCTGGTGTACTCCTGAACTCCAAAAAGCCGTGGAGAAAGGTTACCAGATCCTAAAAATCCACGAAGTCTGGCACTTTCCTGAAGAAAATCGTCGCCAAGGCCTATTTGCAGGCTACGTCAATACCTGGCTAAAGCTGAAACAAGAGAATGCTGGTTGGTCTGCCGGAGTTGAAACCCCAGAGCAGAAAGCCGAGTATGTGAGACGGTATGAACAACATGAAGGAATTAAGTTGGACCTGGACAAGATAGCCGTGAATCCTGGGAGGAAAAGTATTGCAAAATTACTTTTGAACAGGTGAGTCATGCTTTTCCACACTTAAAAATTAACTTGCAGTAAAAGTCTGCACATGTTAAAGTTAACTTGCGGTGTTTTACCGCAAATTTCAGGTCGCGAAATGTTTGTGACTGTGCAAATAGGATTGCACGCTTGCATTAAAAAATAACAAGGATTTGTATGAGAAATGTGCTTAAAAAGTCTGCACTTAAAATTTATTTGCAGTGTTTTACTGTATTTTTCAAATGGTGAAATGATTACTCCTGTGCAAACAGGGCTGCACGGTCGAAAATCAAAAATTATATTCTGCGGACTGTGCAGGAAACAATAACAAATGTCTATTTTTTAATTCTATCTTTCAGTTTATGGGGCAAATTTGGTGAACGGCAGAACAAACCTGTAACACACTGCATTACCCAGCCTTCGCAACTCTTCCAGCTGTTAGAAGACCCTGTCAATGCCATTCACAGTGTGCGAATTTGCTCTGAGGACGTCATGGAGTTGGTCGTCACAAAAAACGAAGACGAATATCAGCGCTCGTTCAAGCAAAACGTGTTTATCGCGGCGTTCACCACTTCGCTCGCTCGTTTAAAGCTGTACGATGCCCTTGATTTTTCAGGTGACCGAGTCTTGTATTACGATACAGACTCGGTCATTTATAAAACCAAGCGGGGTCAAGAGAAGCTTCCTCCGGGAGAATTTTTGGGACAGTTCACCGACGAGATTGAAGGCGACGTGATCGTCAAATTTTGCAGTGGCGGGGCGAAAAACTATGGCTACCTCACCAAGAAAGGTAAAACCGAATGTAAAGTACGCGGGTTTTCGCTCAATTATGAGACAAAACAAGTCTTAAATTATCACACGATGAAGGAAAACATCCTGAAAGAATTGGATGAACCGCTGAAAAAAGCACGTAAAATAGCGATTACCATTCCCGATTACTTTCAACGGGACAAAGTCACCAAGAAAATTAAACTGACGGAGCGTAAGAAACAGTATCAGCTGGTGTTTGATAAACGTGTGATTGACCCTGCCACTCATTCTTCCACGCCCTACGGCTACAACTGGTTCGGGGGAGACGCTGAACTTTTAATGGACTTGTAAATAGTGCGGGTACGGTTTGCTTGGTAGCGCCAACCCGCTTTAGTTTTTTTTTTTTTTTTTTGTATACAGTTTTTTATAGGGGCAAAGTTGCTTGGTAGCGCGAACCCCTGAGAAGAACATTTGCATGCTTTCGTTTTTGAGATTAAATTAGGGTTTGTAACATTTCATCGAAGGGAGTTGAAATGACGTATTAAACTAAGTTCGCGATCCAATGGATTGGTGTGGTGTCTGTTTGTATAAATAGCAGGGGGATTTATACGGTCAAGTTACTTGTCGTAAGATGTCGAACGTTTACTTAACCCTCGTAAACGATGTTACCAAAAAGTACGCGAGTAATGTAGCCAATCAGTTTAAAGTCAAACCACAGTTAAGGTTACCCGGGGAAGGATGGACAGTATCCGTGGCTGGAGCCATTTTACCAAAAATGTCTTTATTCAAAGATTTACAAAGTGCAAACGTAAATCTAATCGAATTATGGGGTGAAACTGAAAAAGCAGGACAATCCGATACGTGGCAAAAGGGTTATTTGAAAGCAACCGATTTACGTGAATGGGAGAAAGCAGGAACATGTCATACAGGGGAAAAATTTTTCAATACCGTAAAACATAGACTAGAAGAAACAGCGCATGCTAGTTTGGATGACGGTTTTAAGTGTAGCTCAACGTGTTGGATTAACTTAGCCTGGGACAAAAAAGGAGTTCACCCGGAACTTGTCCTAACAAACACTACAACAAGTAATTTAATTTATATTTCCAACCCGTTCGCCAAATCTTTGCGCTGGATGAATCCTAAGACCAATCAACATGATAGTATGAGCCCCAATATGGTGCATAGCTACCCAAATCACACTAAAGGACCCACTTCTTTGAATAATGGAAAAGTGACCGACATTCAGGGCAATTGGCTTTGGTTAAGTACTCTTTCCGATTGGCGTTTTATTAACCTCAACCAATGTTTTGAAGATGCCTTAAATCTTCACCCCCGCCCGCTTACCGTGACCGCCAACGTGACGGCCAACAAAGAAACCGTCACGCAATCCTTAGGACAAGTCTATTATGCGCCTGAAGGAAGACAGCGCTATGCGTTTACTCCCGTTCAAGAAACCTTTCAAGAGGTACGAGACAATCATTGGGAAGAAGTACAAATTACCCTGAAAGAACTGGATGGTACACTAGTTCAATTTCAATGGAATAGTCAGTGTGATTCAACTGTATTTTAAAAAAGACTGAGACAAATTAAAGGCAACAACACATTTTATTTAGTGAATAAAAAACAGAATTACAGCTTAAGTTTGCGTTTTGTTTGCATGATCTTTTTAACAATCCGTTCTTGCATGGTTTTCTTGCCTGGGAGCTTTGAAATAGCACGAATCATTTTATCGTCCGCTTTCCACTTGTCCTGTAAATTTTTCGCTTTGGAATAATCGATGTCATGGATTTTCGCTAATTCGTCTAATCTATTGACGCCTCGGTCACCCCTCCTCAGTCTTTCCTTAAGCCGGGTCCCTGGACCAAGATAATTCATTTTTGGCCAGTGAAACTCTTTGCCTGATTTTTCAATTAATTTTTGAATATCCAACGCAGCCCCACGCTGACCCTGATTGAGGGGTGACCGGTTCTGGTTTCCTTTTTATAGCCTTACTGATTTTTGAAATGTTTCCCATAAATTGTTGTCACGGGCCAACAGCTAAATTTCCTTCATCATCGCTGTTGTCTTCATCGCGACTTATTCCTCGTGTTCCTCCTGGTTGACGAATTTTCTTAACCCATTGTTGTAATTCTCGGTTGACTGATTTTAAACGTGGTTTTTTCCATGTATCCGGTGCAGGACTCTCCAGCAAAAGTTCTTTTTGAGCAGCTAAACCGGCTGCTTTGGTTAAACGGCTATCGTCTAAAAGATTAGATTTATATTTATCTCGCAAACGTAAAAACTGCACTGAGGTTTCAATCGGTGTGGATGAAACGCCGTCCATGCTTGCTAATGAAAATAAGCGTTAAGCCTTGTCTTTATATTGGTTTGGGTCTGCATCTCTCTTTGACGTTTTGTCGAAACTCTTTGATCATTTGTGCTAGTAGAAACAAATAGTCTAATAGACAAAGAAGTCGTTGTAACACTTTACGTTTCATGACTGATATTGCCTTTTAGCACAGTGATAACAGCGATGTAATTCTTTCCACGCACCCGCACCTATTTGAGTACTCATCAAGTGTTTGCGCTTTTTTATACTCTGACGAGGGTTGGCAATGACTCGGAGAGATTGACGAAAGGGTTTTAAACGGCTCACTGTTTTTCTCCCAGGTTTAACACTCCCCCGCAATGTGTTCATCACTAACTCACTCACAGCATTAATTTGATCTGCATTTGCATACTGTAATTTTTGTTGCCGCTTATTTTGGTTAGCTTCTTTTAACACATCGTTTAAAAAATGACTCTGTCTCGTCATACGTCCCATGTTTATTTCTTTCTTTGTGTTGGTTGGCGTCTCCTCCTTTTATACTTCTTTTTCTCTAACACTTGGATTGCTTTCTTAGTACAATATTTCGTCAATGCACTTAAACCTCCTAACGCAGCCGCTTTTCCTCCAGCTGCTAAATTAATTGGACCACTTCTCCCGTCTTATTTTTGGCTTTTCTGGATTTCTTTTCTTTCTTGGGAGGAACAGAGTTATCCATGTCAAACGTCGGTTCTTGCAGATAACACATACAGCAAAATCACATCAAACACACAAATTTATACTTACTTAAAATACCTTAGGGAATTGGACATGTCTGGGCAATGACGTCACTCCTGTCACGAACTCGCACTAATCACACCCTTGAGACTTGAGCATGTTGAGGCAGACTATAAAAGAGATAAATTACCTCATTTCATTATTTAACAACATGACTCAGCCAAATGACAACTCGTTTTATGTGACGCTGACTACTCAAAAAACACAGGAATTTCCAGACAATTTACCCACACAATTTCAATACCGTTTGCCTCAAAGCTTATGGTTACCGGGCAAATGGAAAGTGGGTTTGGCAAGTGTGTTTTTACCTGGCGTTTCCAATCCCATTCCCCATGTTGTCACATCCCATGTCAGTTCCTCTCTGACGAAACATCATGACACAAATCCTACCAAACCTTTCGGTATTCGCTCGATTCACAACCTGTACAAAGGGAGTGATACCGATATTTTATTTCAACAATATGCCAAAGCTTTCAAATCTAGTCAATCTCAAGAATTTTTGTCCCAACTTAAAACAGCAGATTTGTAAGATGCCTCCAATGGATTTGATTTTATGTCCAAAGTTTTTTGGTGGATGGAACAGGATTTAAACAAAAAATTACCCACGGGGTATGAATTTGCAGATAGTAATGATAATTGGAGAATAGATGTTTCTGCTCAAGATAATTACACGAGTTGGTTGCTTCGGCATTACAATGTTGAAAGTACCAACAGAAAAAGTGTGCCTTATTTAGCCATTAATTTGATCTTGGCTAAACAAATGGGTTGGGTTGTAGAAACAACTACCAATGTGTTTGCAGTGGGACCGAATTTACTCATGGAGCTTCCATACGGTACTACTAGTGTAAAACCAGGAGCGCTTTCCATTTAGCCAAAATTTCCGGTTTGTCATTGCGGAAAATTTCCAGTTCAAATGGAAAGGCCTTTTCCCTCCCAGGAATAGAGTCTCGTTTTGAGTCCTACACTTGACATTTCATTGGTTAATCCCTGACGAGGCGCAACAAAACAAAATGGACGACAATGTTGCAGTTCCTCTGATTTGCGACTTTCTCGTCAATTGTGACGAGGAAATTGAAAGGTTTCTAAGGAATGAAAATGATTTGACTTTGTGGCGATAGCGGGGGTGTAAATAATAATAATTCGAGAACTCGTGATATCCAACGTGGCAGAAAATCCTTTAGCACCTTGAGATGCAAACATTGTACAGCCCTGATCAGCAGCTGAATTTTCTGTCCAGTATCATTACAATGATCAAACGTACAGGTCATGTTATATTATAAAAGTGAATAAGACAAAATGCACGAGACATTGAACCAATACAGTATTAAAAGAGAATTTTACTTCTAAAATGACATTAAGGTTTAACTATTTTTAAAATTTCCATACCATAGTTTGCCACAAAGTACAATGTATCCAAGTTTGTAGCAGAAATTACAGAACTGATTTTTTTGAAATATTATAGGAAAATTCATTACCTGACGAGGGAATTCCACGTTAAATTGCACGCGAAAACCGATATCGCACGAATCGCGAAGCGATGAGTGCGATATCGGTTTTCAAGTGCAATTTAACGTGGAATTCTCGAGTCAGGTAATGAATTTTCCTTGAATCGCATAATTGAATAAAAATCAGAAGAAAAAAAAAGAAAACAGCAATAATATTGTTTGTTTTTATCCTGAGCGCGCTCCAGAAAGCCATTTCAAAGTCAACTGTCAGAACTGTCATTGCGTTAGCGAATAGGAAGCAAGGTCAGTCGTACGTTTGAACCTTCGACAACTTTTTTTGTACCTTGTGCTTGTTTTTATATTTGTTTTCAAACTTTTTTACATGTAAACAAGCTTCACACTAATCGTAAGGATAAATAGAGGTATTTTACTGAATTTAGAAGCCGTTTATGTAGAACGTCTTTTTTCAAATTGGTCATTTGCTCGAGAGGGAAAATAACTTAAACCTTTTACCTCTTCGGCGGCAAAACGGAAAGAAATCAAGTGTCCAAGCGAAAGCACTGAAAGTTTAACATGTTTAACGTCGCGATTGACATAAGGTAAGTACCTTGAAATGTTTTAGAAATGATGTTCAAGTTCAGCTCTGTTTTGTACTTTTCTAAGTACCACGATTCAGGACGATTGCAAGCGGCGTACTCTTTTTCGTGTTTTCAGGGGCCATGTCCTCTTTGAAGGTATTTATTTCTTCTTCTGTATATGGGACAATCGACCCCGGCACTTCCTCCGTTGTCCTTTCTCCGTTTTGTTTGGTTGAACTTTGGATTGCCATTTTCTGGGCCGTGTTCACAGGATTTTCTTGTTTTCTGGTTGTCGCGAGTGAAAGAGGTTTTATGTCTCTTCGAGAATCTGTAGTTCAGTTCAAAACAAGGAAGAACCTCCGGCTCACTTTAAAAAACGCTTTTGTTTGTTTTTAACTCTTCAAAAAGTGACAATGAATGGTTTTGAAAACATTTTAAAATGACATTGTAGAAAACCTTTTTTGCATGTTGTTGTGTTAGAATTTGACGATAGTTGTTACGTAGATGCGAAACAATATCGCTTAGCCTCGTTTTCAACTCGCAATTCCACACTAAATACCTCGCTTCGTTAACCAATCAGAATGCGAGATTTTACTTAATTATGCGATTCTAGTTGAAATGTACATTTTGAAGCATTGAAACAAAATAAAAATCAAACATGAGAAATATCTTATAATTATTCATACCACTGTCCTCACTGCGGACTTGTATACCCATGTAAAGGTGATAAATTAGCACAAGACTATGTGCAAATTACACCACCAGCACCAATATTCGTGAAAATCTCCGAAAGTATTAATGGTTTCAAACTTTTAAAGCGTCAATTCAGTCTTCTATAAAATCTGTACCATAAGACACACGGTTAACTTTAAAGACGTTAACAATGCTCTCTTGGCTGGGCACATCTCATTTACGCTTACTCATAATTTGTAGTAACTGGTTAAAAAAGCTCTTTCGTTCCTCCTTCGCCTCCTTCATCAACTCCATCTTTTCTCTTTCGTTATCCTCACGTTGCTCTGCGTAAGATGACAGGAATGTCAACATCTCTGCAGCCGAAGATTTTGATTTTCTTTTCCTTTTCCGGCGTTTACAGCCACTTCCAGTGGTTTTTCGTTTTGTTGTACTAGAGCTCTCGGCCGCGGAACATTGGTCTTCATTATCTCCACTTTCCTCGGAGTCTTCGTCCGCAAGGACGTCTGCAGTGCTGCTGCTCTCCTAAGTGAACTTCGGTCGTACATTTGGATTTTCCCCGGTACAAGACTCCATTTCATGGAAGTATTTCCAAGTTTTCTTGTCGGCTCCCGTGGTGTTGTTGTGGTCCGTTATCTTCTTGTGGGAAGCTTCAAGCTTGAGCCACTTACGACCACACTGCTCCCCCGTGACCTTCACGTCAGTAGAAATACTATTGAACTCATTGGCAATTCTGTTGAATATGTCCTTTTTGGTAGCTTTCCCTTTTCCGAATTCAAGCCTCTGCTTTTGCCAACAACTGACAAGAAGTTTTACCTGAAAGTCCTCCCATCGTTCAAGCATCGAGTGTGATAGACCTGTGAAAAAACATACAAAATGTTTAAATTGAAGTAGCTTGTTACAGCCGCAATTAGGAATAGTATTAAAAATGTCTAAATGTACCTTCATCGTCATCTTTTTGGGCGTCTTGTTGCAACCCCACCATTTTTTCGCCTTCTCTCCTTTCTGCCATTTTTATAACAACATTAATTTTACAGGTAAGTCACACTCTTAATTCTTTATTATGGTTGTTTTAGCAGTAAGTATGCAGCAAAAACTGCTGGGTACAACCTCCAACTAAGTCTGTAGGTTTACATTGATTAGTGGTTGGATGATGTTTAATTTTATGCCAAATTTTATTAATAATATGAACAGAAAAATATTCAATTTTGTAAAAATAAAAATAAACAATATTTTGCAAGTTTAATTTCGGTGAACTGGCCACTTAACACAAAGCCAGTGCCAGAATGACAGCCATGGTCAGGCTTCTATGCCGGTACCTATGCAAGAAACCTGAGCGAGTGCCTGTGTTCATTTGGTCAGAAAAGACTCTCATAAATGACAGTGTCTCTAAATTGTAAACATCAACATATTGAATGTAAGATTTGGCTAAATATCTATTTTGTTATCATCCAACCACATCTAATTTAAACAATTGCGTTACTACCCAGTGTCTAATTTAGCAATATTTTAGTCACAGGGACAGGTATCTCAGGCACCAACAAGAAGCCCTACTGCACTTGTCAATGGAGAATCAACACTGGGACCAAGGACCGCAAGAAAAAGGAGGCATGAAACCATTGAAGCTGCTGCCAAAATTCATGGGAGCTCAAATGAACATTCCTCAGCCTGTTTCGAGGGAATGTTTGACACTCTGCAAAAGAGATGCAAGTTAGACAAGTTAACAAAATATGTGACAGAGAACAAGCAGTTGACCAACAGAATAGTTTGTAAAGAGTATAAGAAGAGTGTGTTAGAATTTGAAAAGTCAGATGACAACATTGTTCGAAGTATTGCAACATATTATGCAAGTGGTGTAATGGGGAAACGAAAGTACAAAAGTGTAAGACTGGTGCTTTCAATGAAATCAAATGAAGGCAAACCAGGGAAAAGAACAAGTATTTCAATTTGTAAAGGCTGTAAGGTTCCAAAGCTTCTAACTTATAGTAACCCTGTAGAACAGTTAAAAAAGATTGACATTGGGACTGTTCATGAAATTGACCCAGACTATCTAGAGGGCTTAGAAACTGAAAACCAAGTCAATGGTGCATATAGAGACTTGAGACAATACCTCCCAATGCTTGCCAAATTTTATCTTTCTCAGAACAGAAAAGAAAGTCTGAAAGGCTTTGCAGAATCAACAGGCACTTTTCAAATTGCTCTTGGTGGCGACGGATGCCCAATTGGCAAAAATGAGAGCGCATGCTCTTTCTTAGTCAGTTTCCTCAATGTTGGAAGAAGGGTGGCATCAAGTTATGATAACTTTCTAATTTTTGGTGCCAACTGCGATGAAAGCTCTCCTGTTACAAAGAAATATGTGAGGTCATTATTACCTCAAATTGCAGAGTTAGAAAGGGCTGCATATGAATTTGAAGGCATGAAATATAGGTTTAAGCGGGAGGAATTGCCAAATGACATGAAGATGCTTGCCATGTTGGCAGGTGAATTAACTATTAGTGCTAAGTATTTCTCACCCTTTGCTAATGTTTCATTAGCTGATTGTAGGGATGTCAAGGGTACATTTGGAAGTGAAAGTTCAAACAAGTGGAAGCCATGGAGTTACAGGCAAAGAGTAAATGTTGTCAACAAGGTTGAAGCATTTAAGAAAAGAGTAGCACTAGAAAAAATTTCTGAAAAGACAAAGAGATCTAAAATTACTGATTACATTGCCAAGCAAAGTAGTAGACAGGAATTTTGCCTCTCTTAGGTTCTTACATTGACAAAGCTCATGTGGAACCCCTTCATCTAAAGAACAATGCTTGGCAGTACTTCTTTAAAGCAGTTTTGACAGAAGCTATAAGAAAATCTAAGCTTCCAGCTGATTGTAAAAAGTTTTCAGAGGTTCCAGCTGATAGCCCTTTTTGCACGAGTAATTACAGCTTTACAAACAGAAGTAAAAGCCAGGCGCCTGGCAAACAAGACCAAACAATGGTTTAATGAAACTCAAGGGTCTGGAGCTGATTTGCATTATAGATTTACCGGAAAAGATTCCTGCTGTTTTTGTCATAACTTCATGAGACTAATGAAGTGGCTAAGGTGTGAAAAAGACTCCAGGAAAGAACGTCAAACAGTTCTTGCTTTAGCTTATTTAGGTGTGAGGCTAAGGGACTGTGTTTCTCTCTTTAGTAGATTTGAGATAACATCAGACCACATTGATCAGCTTTCTATTGCCTGTCATGAGTATTTTAACGTAAATTCATTGTTGTTGCCAAGTTCTGTAAATCCTACTGTCTGGACATTGGGTCACATTGTCCCGGCTCATTGTCGTCAAGTGCTTGAAAAGTATGGCCAGGGGTTGGGGTTGGTAACCATGGCAGGACGAGAAGCGAAGCATATTTTTCTTAAAAAATTAGGTGAAAATACAACATATCAAAACAGATGGGTTGAAATATTTAGACATGAATATGTGATGCTGATTTGGCTACCTCAGCAAGGTTTTCAGCAGCCAGAAGCTGCATGCAAAAATGTAGCCTACATCCTAGAGAGGGTATTCGATGATCCATCTTATTGCTATTGTGGTCTGTTAAAGGCATGTCCTGAGGATGCTAAGTGCTGTGTCTGTGGAGACCCAATCATGAAATTTATTGAGCAAAGTGTAAAGGACGGAAGGATTGCTCCACAGCTTTTGTAATTAATGTTAAATCTGTACACAGTTGGACTCAAAAACACTGCTGACTTGAGATTATATATTATATTACATTACATAGTTTATATCATACCATACAATATAATATATTATATCATATCATATTATATTAAATTATATTACATTAGCAGCAGTAAGGAACTTTAAGATAGTGTTAGAATATAAAATCCAGTTTGATCACCCTCCTGTTGTGTGGTTTTGTTTACAATTGGTCCTAACATAAGGAATCAAACTCAATATCAAAACGCTCGGCATTCAAACATTGTTGCTAATACTGAAAAAGTATGTCTATGGCATTTTGATAGGATTCATTGGCAACTGCAAAGAGTGGAGGACAATTAACAACAACAACAATTTATTGGCATATACTGTAGATGTCATTACCTACAAATTATATAAGAATTAACTGCAATGGGCCATTCCATTTTATATCAGCACCCCTCCCCCCTATTAAGGGTCAAGGAAATCCTAGGGGGAGGGAGGGGGCCTTTAGCAGTAATTTCTGAAGGAGTAGCCATGTTAGTAACTTTGATCTTTTTGTTTTTTCTGAAGGGGGGTATGTGTCAGCACTTTGATCTTTAAAATCAGAGGGGGTCCTCAACTGTTATTTCCGAGGGAGTAGAGACCAAAAACCCCTCAATAGGGAGGGTGGGGGGGTGCAGATATTAAAAGGAATGGCCCAATAACTAAACTATATATATATAAAAGGCGATGCAAGTAACTACAAATCGGCTGAGTGCATAATGTTAGGACAACTTATAATTACAAACAGCCTGACATATACTCCACTCAGTCTATTCCGCATTACTTATATGCTTACAAAAACGTGTCATCGCTCGTTTTGTCTTCATCTCCCTTTCTGGCAGACCCATGAGAACTGCGGGGAAAAGGAGAGGTACTGTTTCAATACCAAACCAATGCATCAGTGGAGTACTTGAAAACCACCCCGTTTCCCCCTCCCCTATTTGGCTATCACATTTCCAAGTAACACAACAGCAACTATGCAATATTCTACATTGTTTTGGTAGTTTATACAGGCATGTCTAGCCCCAAGTTGCACATTTTGAATCTTTTCAGGCAATGAAAAAGTGTAAAATAATCAGTTAATTTAACCTAGTTTGGTGGCGTGAACTCCATTCAAGAAAAAAAATAATATATAAAAGAAATTAAGTGCTAACCCGCTTTCGACAGCTTCTGTTTCCACCAAGGACTTTGATTGCGACCTCGTAGCTGGTCACCGTTTCTTTTTAGATGGAGGCATTCCTTTCCAAATTATAAACTCACACATCAGCTTCAGTTGAGGGCGAAAAGGATTTGAAGTGCAAGAAGCGGGCTGGGTTTATTTATGTAGCTACCAAGGTTTATTTCAGGCCATAAAAGGATTTGTCACGTTTATTTACTCAAACTCTATCTCGGTTAAATTCGATACGTCACGGAAATAGGGACAAAATAGTTCAAATTTACGAAGAAATGGATCGAAAGATTCGCTCTGGGAGCATACTTTTGTCCGTTCCCAAGGGATACGCCCGGGGACAAGCCATTGTTTCACCGTGATCACAACATCACAACCCACCGACAAGCGCAGAACCTCTCTCATTTCTGGTGATTTATTACCCTGCATATTCAACCTTCAGTCCTATAGCTATGGAAAGCAGACGTGTCACCATTGTCCAGTACAATTTGACGTCAAGCAAAGACGAAAAAGACTTGGATCAAACGTATGTGTATTCATCGTCGAAGCTTCTCCACTCAGTGCTTCAGAATTCCTGTTTGAATCGCCAGCAGAGGAGGATCAAAGCGACCACAGTGAACAGAACAGCGTCTTGGCCCTGAAGTCAGACAGCGCAAGCGACGAGGCAGGTCCCTCTGCGTCTGCAAGTAAAACAAACACGCCTGTCAGGCAATGCGTCAAGTGACTTGAAAATCATTGCTAATAACACAGCCGCTGCTGCCCCGATTTACGTCGCGTCGTCATCCGAATCCGAAGAGCAAGACAACAAATTCAGCAGACTACCTCTTCTGTCAGACGGTGCGTAAAGCGACTTCGAAATCATTGAAAGCACATCAGCTGGCGCCTCGATTTACGTCTCTTCGTCATCTGAATCGCAAGACCAAGATGGCGAGGCCAGCAAATGACCATGCTTGTCAGACATTGCGTCAAGTGACTCCGAAATCATGCCAAGCACAGCCGCTGGTGCCCCGATTTACGTTTCCTCGTCATCTGAATCGGACGACCAAGATAGCGGAGCCCTACTTCCAGGGAGAAAACCTTACTCCATCGGACTTCAAGAGCTACCGGCAAGCCTGAGAGAATTCCTTGCTGAGGCCTATGCCTTCTTCACGAGTTCGCACCAACTGGAGAGAGCAGGAAAGTGCGTGTCCCTTACGACCTATGGAAAAGCCCAGGAGCAGATCTTGTGTGAGTACTGTCTGTTTGTTTCTTTAAAAGACGTGATGTTTGGCCTGTTTAGAATATCCAACGTGGTTTGCTTGATTCCGAGAGAAACGTGGCACAAACCCGTGTCTGCCGTCTTAAGTTAGAGTAGTAAAGGAAAGAAGAATCAGGGGGCACCCAACGATTGTTTTCTGTAAAATATCTGTTCAGAGAAGAATATAATGCCTAGAATTTTGTGTTGCTTGAGGACGGCTAAAAATTTCTAGATGACAGTTGCATTCTTGTACAATTTCTGAAACTTATCCAATAAATTCAAGTGCTATTTCAGACATTTTTTTTTTTTGGTGGAACAAGTACCTCAGGGAATCATGATCCTTCCAGTTTGGCCTACTCAAGTTTGGTGGCCACAACTGCTGAAAATGCAATTGCAATCCCATTAGTCTTGCCGAAGCAGGAGGACCTACTTTCACTATCACACTCTCCTTAAACACTACACCCCTTAAGGAGGAAATTGACTATGCTGGCATGTCTCCTGTCTGGCAATCCATCCAGGGTAGAGGAATTTCAGAGGTGGCTGCTAAGCTCATCATGGCCTCCTGGAGAGATGGAACAAAGAAACAGTACAGTACCTACATTACAAAGTGGCAAAAGTTTTGTAATCAGGCAGATCAGTCACATTCAACCATCTGTAGTGTATGTACTTGATTTTCTAACCCTGCTATATCAGCAAGGCCTTATATACAGTGCCATCAATACAGCCCAAAGTACTTTGTCTAGCTATATTACTTTAGAAAATGGGACATGCGTAGGAAAAAACCCTCTAGTATCTTGGCTAATAAAAGGCATTTTCCAGGAAAAACCACCGAGGCCTAAGTACACAGAAATTTGTGTCCATTGTTCTTTCATACCTTCAGTCTTTATCTCCTGTGGATAAATTGTCCTTGAAGGAACTTACACTGAATCTCCTTGTGCTTA